TTAGTTGGACCATCATTTATTTTTCAACAGGACAATGACCCCAAACACACCTCCAGGCTGTGTAAGGGCTATTTGACCAAGAAGGAGAGTGATGGGGTGCTGTGCCAGATGACCTGGCCTCCACAGTTACCGGACATGAACCCAATCGAGATGGTTTGGGGTGAGCTGGACCGCAGAGTGAAGGCAAAAGGGCCAACAAGTGCTAAGCATCTCTGGAAATTCCTTCAAGACTGTTGGAAGACCATTTCTGGTGACTACCTCTTGAAGCTCATCAAGAGAACGCAGAGTGTGTGCAAAGCAGTAATCAAAGCAAAAGGTGGCTACTTTGAAGAACCTAGAATATAAGACATATTTTCAGTTGTTCATATTTTTGATGCCTTCAGTGTGAATCATATCATATCATATCATATCAATTTTCATAGTCATGAAAATAAAGAAAACTCTTTGAATGAGAAGGTGTGTCCAAACTTTTGGTCTTTACTGTATGTATGAAAAGTTGGTCAAAGTTTAAGATGCAATACTATGATAAAGTAGTATGTCCCAATTGAATACACAGTGCATGCAGCAGGGCATATGTTGAAAGGGCAGCTGCAGGATGTACTAAAAGAAGAAAAGTTTGTAATTTAGACCACAGCTTTTGTTAAATGTCTGTTTTCTCGACTCCTCCCTCCACATAATGTAGCAAAGACGTTCATTTTACAGCTAACAACTTCATACCATTGTCCTATTACAAAGAAATTCTTAAAAGTGCTTAAAGTTTTTAAATGCTTTGTTGTTTTTAAATGTTGTAAAGCACTTTGCGTTGTTGTTGCACATGAAAAGCGCTATACAAATTAAATTTGATTGATTGATTGATTGATAAAACTTCCTCCCTCCACATCTTGCCCTTGACTCATGTGTTTGCATCTCAGGTGGGAAGTCACAAGAAGAGGAGCAAAGGATGTTCAAATTGACACTGCTAGTCACGCTGCCTTAGTGCTTTCTTTCTGAGTTGACAACAAGGCCCTCTCCCCTGCACCATGCCATCCTCCATCACCGTTTTTCAAAGCACATCAGAGTCATGCTTGATCTTGAAACCCACTACTTTGGTCAGCTATTCTGATAATCTTGCAAAGATAATATTTCATCCCCCACAGAGCAAAATACCCATCGAAATTGCAAATGATGTAACTCGATATCAAGCAGAGTCACCACAAAGAGCAAAGACAGAGACAAACCTCTCCATTGATGCTCTCGGTGGCCATGCACTGCCGGCTGGCTCTCTGGCTGGTGCTGTCGACGCGAGGTGCCTCCATTCTGCAGCTGCACAGAGGAAGCTCCTCCAGCCGCTCGGTGTCTCCTGCATCGCTGCCTTCTGCACAGGGACCATTTGAAAGGTCATTAAATTAGTTTTGCTTAAGGTGACTGTCATGTAACATTTAACATTACAGGAGACAAAGAAAAGACAAAATTTTAGTCAAGGTCAACAACCTTTAATGTGTTTTATATAAAGGAAAGCTGAAATGATTAGCTGATCAATCAGAATGAATCTGTCGTGCTCTGATTGCAAACATTCCTGGTGTCTTTTGTGTTGTGTTGTGTTGTTGTGTTTTTGTGCAATTTATGATTGCAAACAAAACTGTCGGCTAGCCAAAAACAATTCTCCACTATTAGCTGGCTTTTTTTTTTGTTTTTTTTAGAAAAATCAATCAGTCAATTATTTTGGAAGATAATCAGCAAATTTGACACTAATTTTAACTAAATCTGAGTTTACAGAAAAGGTGTGAATCAAGATAATAACTGTTTGCTTTCTTGTTATCTGAATCTACTTGCAAAAGGATTATTCATGACACTATAACTGTAATTATTTATTAAAATCATAACATAATTAGTTCACTGTTACTTTTAACAAAGAAAAAACACGTATTTTCACATTTGAGAATCTGAAGTTGGTCAGGGTTGACATTTTGGGGAGGAAAAATGAACTGAAATGATAAATTCATCATCAAAACAGATCATTTCTGCTGGTCAACTAATTATTCCAGTTCTCCAACTCAACCACTCAGCACTGCCTTAGCAGCAGTTTCTCCTGGTTTAGGTTTCAGACTTTTCAGTGTCCTGAAATAATCCACAGAAAATAGCAACACACAGTATCCATCTTCAACCCACCATGAGGAGAAAGTGTCAGACTGTCAGCAGCAGCAATGTCCAGAGCACCTAAAGGAACCTCTGTGTATTCTGCAGATCTTCCTACTGAAGACAAACCAAATGAAAGAGTTAGAAAAACATGCTGGAAAATGATGCACAATGCTTCACGCAACACCAATAAAAGTATTTCACTCATTTTACGATGCTTTTAATATCTTACAATACTTAGTAAATAATGTATTCAGGCCTTCTCTCACTGATCAACAGAAAAGAAAAAACCCTGAAATACAGAAATACCCAGATGGAAGTCATAGAAAATCATCTGGGTATTTCTGTACATCTAGGTCACTCACTCCCTCACTGTGGTGAAAACAAACCAGTGACACTGGCCAAAAATGCAAAAAAATTTAAATTTTTTGTGCTCTTAAACTCGTCATCATCATGCCTAAAAGTTGTGAAGCACTATACTGCACGTCTCATAACATGCAGGAGGAAAAGATTTCTTTTACAAGCTTCCATCAGGCAAAATATCTCCAGACTGAAGGCGACTATGGCTGAGAGCTGTCAACAAGCACAACAGAGACAGAAACCACCGAAACGCAGGAAAACACCTTGGTTTGTGTGGAAAGCATTTTGGTGCTGCCTTTGATAAAGCTTAACAGTTAGTCCATAGACCTAAATTTATTTTACCTACATTTCTGTACGCATTTGATGATTTAATACGACTCCAGTGTCACCAGTTTCTGGGCCACATTAGAGGAGAATCTGTGCAGATGTTCAGAATCATGTTTGCAATAGTGCTTACACATAACAGTCTGTATCCAGGAACATTTTACCCAAACATTTTTGCTTTTGGCCATTTCAAATGCCAATTATGATTGTAGTAAACCATTTATTTTATTCGCAAATGCAGTTGCAAGTAGACTAAGTTTGACCTGTTGACAGAGGACAGTTTGACAGCCAGCACATGTGGTTTTGTTTTCACCATGATGACTGAGATGACGTCGTTTCCTGGAGTATTTACTCCTTTAAATCAGTATTTAGCAGAAATAACTGCAGTAATTACAGCTCTGAGTCTCTGTGGACAGGTCTGCGCCAGCTTTGCACATCTGGACACTGCATTTTGTCCCCAGTCATCTACACAAGACTGCATCAGCTTTGTCTGATTCCACAGAGATGTTCGATGAACAACAATTTTCTACAAGTTCTTAACTCTTGAAATCTGCATCTCCTGCAGACCTTGTGCTGGTGGTCTCCCTCAGAGCACCTTTCTTGCACAGACAACTTGTTTTTGACAGCAGTGTGCTTTTGGCAGATTTATAGTTTTGCAATATTCTTTGTACTTTTGAACAGTCCTTGGTAAACATTTACTACCTTGAATATATTCTTGCTTCTTTTCTCTGATTGCTACTCTTTCATAATTTAGTTGTGAATATGTATGAGGTTTTCTTGTCCTCAGTGGTTTGACTTTAGTTTCCAGACAGAGGAGGCTTTAGGCTTAAGTCACACATCGATGTTTATCCAGCTTATGTGAATGTAGCTGTATCTTAGTAAAGCAGGTAAACTCAAAATGTTTCAGTTGATCAAACAAATCCACACTACATCTAACAAAATCCGGGGTTCTCAGTCATGCTGGGAGACAAGCGTAGTTTTAGAAAACCCAGTAGAAAATCACTCACCTCCAAGCGTTTCCACTACATCAACTGTGTTTCTCTCGTCCTGATCCGAAGGCAACCATGAAGATTTACTGTGGATGGCTCTCTGTGTTTCCGACTCCAAACTCTGTAAAGAAGAAGTCTGAATTATATACATCTGAAACTAAAAATGTGTGATTTTTCCCTCCCCCCAGTGGCTAAAAGGTATCATGTGGAGTTTCTGACCACTAGTCGGAAGAAAGATTTTAACGTTTGCAGGGATGCACATGCACTACATGATTCCTGCCTCATTATTCTGCATTTAATAGCAATAACACAGGTGGAAAAGCAGCAAAACACAATACACTTAAGTCATTTGTCCAGCCTTAAAAACAAATTTTGGTGACAACTCTGCATGCAGACATAACTTTCTTTGTTTTTTCGAGAGGAACTCTAAATATGGAGTACTGTACTTGTCTTATCATACAGTATTTATGTCAACACTTTTATACACCTAGTACATAAATATAACCCAGTCACATCTTTTTGACCATTACTTTGAGCTACAGAAGGTTGTTTAAATGACATTTAGAGAACTGAGGACAAATTTAAATGTTTTTGATTCCTCTCTTGTGTTGGCACAGTTTATCTGCTTGTCCTAAAAACCAAAGCAGAGCTCATCAGATAAGTTCCTGGTATGACCACTGAGCGGCAACAGACACGTGATGGACAAATTAATGGACAATGCAGGATGATGATGGCTTTACAATTCTTCAATTCTTCTGAACTACACACATAATACTTTTGGTAGTCTAGATTTAAAGAAAAGCATGATTCTGTAGGCACAGATCATTCTTTGTCTCAGTTTTATTCAGAAACCTGCAGAGTTGGTTCAGTGGATTTTTATTTGTTTTTTTTCAAAGAACATCAGCATGCTTTTCAATTTTGGAAAGGGGAGAAATATCCCTGGATGACCCAACATGTGGTGCGCTCTTTTCAGTCAGGCACAGCAAGAGTGAGTTGTCAAATTGAAAACAAAAATAATGGTAAGTCATGTAGTAAATAGTCGATACTTTCGAAAAAATACCACAATGGTTCTCAAACTTATTACTCTTGGGTCCTCCTCTGATTTGTATTCAAGGTCTGAGGTTTGGAATGATTGTTGATAACAGAATAACATCTAATCTACTCATAACTTTTTCGCAACATACAGTCGTGTTTAATACAGACAAGATAGTGAAAATACATCAGAGTCTAATTGGACAAACTGCATTGTTTTCAAATCAGTTGCATCAGTGTGACTCCTTGCACTGGCTGTACAAACTGAATTAGAAAAGACACATTTTGTATCTGAACATTAGGAGCTGATAGCAAGTCCTCTGGTGTAACGTTAATGCGTGACCTTGGCAGCAACAGCACACAACAGTCTCGCCAGCAGTTAGCGTCACCATGACAATGTTGTCAATAACAGGGAAATAAGCCTTGTTAAAAACACATTCATCTTGGGGCAAGATCCGGCTGCACTGTTTATTCAGCGTCACAAAATATTTATATATCAACAGAAAATTAATTAGAGAAAATTTACACTACATAATGTATTGTAGTCAAAGACAAGAAACAGGAAGGTCCGGGTTGACTTGTTGTTAGTTATGGATTAGGATCAAAGTCAGGACTTTGAAAAGTCTTGAAGTACCAGATGATACAACAGCTGCAGGCTCAAACTGCTAACAGACTAGTTGGCAGGAATGGGATCTACAGAGGAAGTGTTAAAAGGTGAATTTAAAAATCAGTGCTAAATGAGAAATAAAGAATAAAGCAAATAAGATAGGTAGAATCACTCACATGATCTGATATGTTAACTGACCCCTCTATGTCTTTTGCTCTCTGCCTTCCTTCTCCACCATCTTCAAACTATAAAAGAACAGTAACACAAGCTTAACAACAGATAAATTACGATCTCTCACTGTTTTATATAAAACAACAAACACATGCTGCTTATACAAATGCTGTAGCATTATGTTCACTGATATTAAATCACTTTAATGGACAATGAGCAAATCAAAGCCTCACACCTTTTCTAAATCTCGCGTGGACGGACTAGAAACCTGAATTTTCTCGTCTGCTTCCCCCTGTGACTTCCCCACACAGGTGTTGCTCTTCATTGATGCAGTTTTGGAAACAAGCTCCACCTTTTTATGGAATAACTTTCCTTCCTGGGTTTTAAAAAGAAATAAAAACAAACATGACAACATTAACAAGAGACCACAACAAGAACTGAAACTGTTCAGTAAATTACATATCTGCAGAAACACTGTCTTACCACATTCTGAGCATTGTCTGGAATGTTTTCACACTTCTCAGGTGTGTTTTCTGATAAATGACCCAGTCTCCTCCTCTTTGCAGCTACTGGAAACATGACAGACTTCAATTAAACAAAGCACTCTAGCTCTCTCTTACTCAGTTTCATTAATGTACAAAAGCAAACATTAGTAAGTGTGAGTTTTCTACAAACCTGTTTCAGAGTCAGAGGAAAGGCAGGTAGAGGATCCTGATGCAACAGGCGCCTCAACGTGACTCATCTTTGGAATAGAAACGGTTAGTGGTGCAAATGATTGAGAAAAATCAAGAATTAAAAAAACCTGACCAAATGCAGGCATAAAGTCAAGATTGAGGTCCAGATTTGATTCCGTTTATGCCAAATGGAACTAACTTCTTCCTCACCTGCGCAGGCGGAGGCCTGTTCATGGTCTTGCGGGCCCGGTGGATCTTGGGTGGTGCAGGGGAAACAGACGGAGAAGAAGAAGCAGCTGTTGCAGAGGAGGAAGAGGAGGATGATGGAGCAAGTGGCAGGACAGATTTACTGCTACCGGGCCCAGAAACACTCATCTTGGCCCGGCCAGGGGACAACGCTGAAGATGTAGAAGGAGAGGAGGACAATGCAGAGGACGACATTGATGATAGCGACTTTACTGAGTGTCCTGTAAAAAGGAAAAAAAGCAATTAATGCGAATGAAAAACAACTACGTTTTTTAAAAACTTATCTGTAATTAGTACAAGATTCATTTTGTGAAAAGTAATGTCAGTTTTTACAAATCATGTTTAATCTCCTAAAAGCAAACTTTGAAGAAAATAAAGAAATAATGGTCCAAAATGCCACTAACATGAGAAATCATTTCACCAGTTCTCAGCCTTGATCTCATTTGTTCCTGTAATTATACTAAATCATTTTAGGTGATGCATTACTGTATTAAACCTTGAGCAACTTTTAGCTATTACCCAGATTTTCAAACGTTCTTTCACATTTTACAGGTGTCAACTGACGATTTCAGGATCAAAAAAGCTCACCCTCCTATTATTTGAGATCAGATTAAACAAGTCAACTCAACTAGAGAGTCAGTGAAAGCTAGCTGTATCAGAATCCTACCTGCAGCAGTTTTGTTCGGTGTGGACGCGGCAGAGGACCGTTTCTCTCCCTCCTCTCCAGCTCTGGAGCCATCCTTCCCAGGCTGCTGAGACGACAACATCGATGGTATACTACCCATAGACTCCGTCTGGTCTGCTGCAGCAGATGTGGTGGCGGCTGCATTATCTGAGAAACATTCAGAGTTCAGCATTAGTTTTTAAAAACAGTACCGACATGAGGTGGAAATCAAAATCACTCAGGAATTCTGTAAATTTGAGCACCTGAAATGAACAATTTCCAAAGATTTGAATAAACAAGATGGACACTTGCCTTCTTTTTTTTGACTTTGTCCAGCCAATGACTCTGCTGGTGTTTTTGAGACATGTTTTTCAGAGCGCTCCTGTCAGAAAGAACAACATACAAGTGAAAAAAATATAACTGCAACTCAGAATTTTGGACTATTATCCAGCAGTTCATGGGATTGCAAATGTATCACTCACACTAAAATGAAACTTTAAAGCTCACACACCTTATATTCCTTTTTACTGACATCTTTTCACTCTTAGTGAAATGTGTAAACTATAATTTCCTGCAGTTTTGCATCCCGCGCAACAAGGTATGAACAGCCTAAGATAAAGTGAACAACTTGGTAAAATGGCTCGATACTATAACTTTTGATATTTTATCTTTTCAGCAGTGCAGAGAATACTTTTGCCATATGCTTTTATATGGCTTTCTAGTCTTTTTCTATTCAGGTGTTTTGTCCAACTGCTTTTAAAGGCATATTGTGAAATATGCTCAGAAAACCCAGCACTTCCGAGGTGAACCATACTAAAATGTTTATCAACTAAAAACTGACCTGGAAACATCTTTGTGTTTGTGTTACACCAGGTTGGGTGTTTGTGAAAAAAAAAGTTCTTTGACTCCAGCCTCTTAAATGTAAATATTTTTCTAATTCCTTTAGTCCTATATGACAGTAAACTGAATATCTTTGGGTTGTTTTGCACTAAGCACATATTTTTCACAACTTTTAAGTCACACCATACCCCACCATCAAGCATCCAATATTGTACAACCTTCCCAATTATGAAAAGATATCTCGACTGCCAGCATTTTATCATGACGTGTGTAAAAACATCACAATTTCATAATGAAAAGTTGTGTTTTTCCTCGATATAAAGGCGAATATTTAATATTTAAGCTTATAGGGAATCCAGATGTTTTGGATTGTTGGGTGTTTCTGTCTCTGCCTTTGTGAAGCGCTATGAGATGACTGTTGTTGTAAATATGCGCTATACAAACAAAATTGAATTGAATTGAATTGAATATTACAAAAGTGTTTTATCAAATAATGAAAAATTAGCATGTATACTCAACTTAAATTCTTTTGTGCTAAAATGCTCAAAGATATTTAAAAGCATTGTTTTGGGATTTGGGCCAAAGTGGTATACCTTTTTCACAATTTTCTGGTATTTTACAGATCAAACCACTAATGGATTAATTGAGAAAATAACTGATTAACAGATAACAAATTAATAGGGCTACAAAATAGTCCTTAGTTGCAGCATTATTAATTCACAAGTAGTGAGTTTTAAAGCATATATGAATGCACTGTGTGTTGTGATGGAAAAACAATATTCAAGACCATAGTGCTGTTGATCACATGTTTCCTGGCAGGTAGACATTCTAACTTAGTGGTTCTGATTTTGTCATTGTGTATAAATACCACATATCACAAGCAAAACGTGACTTTCCCTGTGTGTAAAGACTTTCTCCTCGGGGAAAAAATAAAGTATTTCTGATGTCGATTGACAATCAGAATCCTAATCAAAAAACCTTGGACGCAATTAACTGTATAGGGTTTCATTAGACCTCATCTTTTTGATATTACATCCAATCACCAGACACAGACACACACACGACAATTTTTGTGTCGTGCTTTTTGCGGTTATAACCAACAGAAATAGTGTTTGGGGCATTTAAGTAAAACCCTTCCGCATTCGCCTCTTCAAAATAAGCCTCTCAACCAATAGCTGACCTTTCCTGTTGTTACGTCAACTGCCGCCATCAGTCAATCAGCCCATTCATGCCAAATCAAAGCAGGACCCATACCCCGACAATAGTCGTAAAAATGTAAAAAATAAAAAAAAGGAAGGGAAAGCTAGATTTCATACACTGCATGCTTAAAATCCTCGCTGGGAATAACTAATTAGTATCCCGAGTGCAAAAAGACCACTTGGTCTCAACATTTGCTTTACAACCGGTCTAAAATACGACTAATGAATACAAATACGGTAAAAGCAACGCAATATAATGGATGCATAGAGGAGTTAAATACTCAAAGAGTGCAAAAAAATCTGCAAAACTTCACCAACATTAAAACAATCCTTCAATTAACATAAAACAGACAGGCTAACGTTGCTAGCAGTGTAGCTCAGCTTGCAATAAGGAGCTGTAATAATCGATAAAAATAGATATTTGCAAGGTGGCAGGCAGCAGCCTCGGTGGCACGGTTTTGCTAAGCACGCTAATGTGTTTACAAGCGGATAAACACAGGTAAATGTCGCTAGCATGGCGTTTTACGGTGGGTTTGCTACCTTTGTCGTTGTCTCAGACGCCGACATGTTTCCCAGCGAGCGTCAACGCATTTGAACGTGCTGCGTCACTGCTGGAGGCCCGCCCCCCGCGTCAATTGATTTGAGCATCGCTGATCGGAAATCAGCGTGCGTGCTCCGTATTGACCAGCGGCACCGAGGATAAACTTCGCACGGAAACCGATTCAAAGTCAGCTCGGCGGCGACACACCAGCGGCTTGTGTTTGTTGTCACGAGATGTGCTTCCTCCAAAAAAGGCCGAAAAGTAAACAGAAATCGAGGTAGTAGCGAACGGCGGCTGGAGGGATGAACAGACACCAATGGACGACTAGCATCACCTCGGTTGAGCCGTTAAACCGAGCCCGAATTGTTTGATTTTTTTAAGAGAGCTCACAAAGACATCCAACGGAGAGAGAGGCGAAGGTGAGCAACGGTAAACTTTGACGGGCAGCTTTTGTTCGCGTTTTTGGTTACAAGCAGAAACCACAGGCGATACAAGTGGGCGAGCTAACTAGCTGTTAGTTAGGGGGCTAACGTTAGCTAACATTCAGTCAAGTCGGTTAGCTAGCTGGGCTCCACAAAAAGGAGGACAAATTCTGTGTTTTGATGGATTTCAGCCTTTGAAGGTAATCACACCTGTCGACCAAATGTCATAGTTTTGTTATAGACTCTACTACTGTCTGAACACATACCCTTTAATAGCTTTTTTTATGCCTTAACATGTTAGCTAACCTAACTTTCCAATGTTCCTCAATTTAAAACTGTCGTTGTAATTAGCATGTAACGTGACAGTAGGTGTTGTTACACTGTAATACGACAATATAACATATAAGTGCAGAAAGCTGATATTATAGCTTTTCTTTGTCGTTATTACAAGTGATAAACTCCCCTGTATTTAATTCACTCCCTTGTTCAACCTGAATCGAAAGACAGGACTTGTTCTTTCAGTTTATTCAATACATCAGCATTACTGGTGATTTCTGTAAGTCACTTACCCATAGCACAGTTTAGATTATACATTTATTGTAAACTGTGACAGTTGTCTTGATATACTGGGTAAAATATTTGATTTGTGTTAGTTCCATTCAGGTCAATCTTCATCCACAAGCTTCTATTCCAGCTAGATGATCAATATTTTAGATGTTGTTTGCTTATATTGAAACAAGTGAAAGATGCTCCAGGAAGACTAACTGCGCTGTTAATATGCCGATTATTTTCTCAGTGAATGGTTTTATCGTAAAATGTCAGAACAAAGTGGAAAACTCCAAAGCTGACAACTTCAAGTTCCTGCTTTTTTTCTGGCTAGTAATCAAAAACTATGATTTGTTTGGTTTAGTATCATATATGACAAATAGAAGCAAATGCTCACACTCGAGGAGCTGAAATCAGAAAATTCTTGGCTTTTTGGCTTAAAAAAAATATTGAAAAAACAAATTGACTGTCAGATGGCTTGCCATATTATTTTAGTGTCAGATGACTAAGCTGAACCTTTTTAGTTTTGTGCTCCTATCATTCTTTGAGGCTGATTTAAAATTTGACCTGGCTGACACCTGATTCCTGTTCCGAAGTATTTTCTGGGAACCTACCAAACATGTGTTAATGTTACACTTGCCATTATTGGACCTTTATACCAGTATTACATTCCACATTTGTTGCATCTTGACCCCTGGAACAGCGTGATTTTCTGAGTTCTTCAGCTAGAGCAGCTGTTTGGTGTCAATTGTCACCTGAAAATATATACTGAACATGTGTGTTCAGAGCACCGTCGCCTCACAACTCGAAGATCCCCGGTTCATGTCCCGGCAAGGACGCCTGGGATCTTTCTGTGTGGAGTTTACATGTTCTCCCTGTGCAGCGTGGGTTCTCACCGGGGTCTCCAGCTTCCTCCTACAGCCCAAAAACATGCTGAGGTTAATTAGTGACTCTAAATTGTCTGTAGGTGTGAATGTGAGTGTGCTTGTTTGTCTCTCTGTGTAGCCCTGTAATACACTGTCCAGGGTGTCCCCTGCCTTCACGCTAAGTCAGCTGGGACAGGCTCCAGCCCCCCGCGACCCTAGTGAGGATTAATCGGTGTATGTGTTCAGTATATAGAAAAGAAACGCTTAATGGTTAATTCTATACAGAAAGAAAAACGAGTTTACAGTCATGGCATGTGCTCTGAGAATTGGGCTAGATTTTAACTGCACCCAAAAAAACCTGCCTGACTGCATTGTCAGCTCTGCTGCGGTGCAATCTTAAGTTCAAGTAGGGCTACAAAGGAGCTTATACTGTCTTTGATCCCAAATGTCTGTCTGTTTGAAGTCAGGCAGCCATAATATAACAGATATTGAGCACAGTTTTCAAGTGGCTTTTATTTAGCCTCATCATTTTGTATTTTGTGCCTGTTTTTTGATCTTCTCTGTTGGAGCCGAGCTTATTGAGTTATTTGTAATGGATGCTCAATTTGTAGAATTGCTCACCACACATATCATTGTTTCTCCTCAGACAAAATGGAGATAGTGTGTTTCCGGTTACCGGGCCACGGGGACAAAACCCTGAAGCACATGAACTCGCTGAGGTATCGCCAGCATTTCTGTGACATCACCATCATTGCCAGCAACAACCAGATATTCAGGGGACACAAGGTCGTGCTGGCTGCCTGCTCACCCTTCCTGCGGGACCAGTTCCTCCTCAACCCGTCACCCAAGCTTCAGGTTGGTGACCATCAGCACCCAAAAGCTCACACTGCAAATGAATTTCGTTCATGCTCTTATGCCAAGTAAAATTTCTTTTGATTCTTTGTTCCATGTTTTAATTCAGGTGTCGATGCTGTACAGCTCCTCAGTGGTGTGCGACCTGCTTCAGTCGTGCTACACCGGCATCCTGCAGTTCAACCCAGAGGAGATTGTCAACTACCTGACTACTGCCAGTTACCTTCAGATGGAGCACATCGTGGCGCGCTGCAGAGGAGCGCTCGAGAAATATGTGCAGCTGAAGAATCCCGGTCTACCAAAGGTCAGCCCTCAAAGCTTGTACCTTCTCTAGTGGATGGATATGTTGTACAGTGTCAGGAAATACTATTCAAATGCTTCTTCTCAGGAGTTTTCTAGTTGCATGAGTCTTTCATTTATCACGTAGAATGTAATCAATGTTTTGAGTGAAAAAAATTTAACAAACAGGACACTGTAGTCCATTTTTATCCTAAGTAGTTATCTGTGATATCATTTTTGTGTTTTATTATGAAAGTAATTACCAACTGAACGTCCTGTACTCACACAATGTACACACAGTAACACTTTATCAGCACTCTCATAGCTTGCAGTATTCATAGGTTTTGAGCAATGCCATCATCTGTTTTCTTATTTCTTCTTGTAGATGGCTGCAGAGGAGAGCCAGGCCAGACCGGTGATCATCAGCGGCAGCATGCATTCTGTTGGGTCGCCTCCCCAGAGCCGACCTTCACCTGCGCAGCCACACAGTCCAGCTGTACGCTCAGCAGAGGAGAACAACGATGATATCTCTGCTCAGGGCAGCAGTCAGCCCCATGACAGTCCTGTGCTGGATGATCCATGTATCAAGGTGCAGTTTTGGCTCATAAAATGATTTGCCTATTAGCTGACAATACCGACTTAGTCTTGTAAGTGATATAAACTAGTCGTTGTTTCATCCTATCATTTAGACGGAATATTTAATAAGCTAAAGATTTTTGATGAAATATTTCCTGGCATTGGTTGTTTGTGAGTAATGAAGTTTGACAAATTAAGTGCCGTTGAGAAGCTGAAAGAGAACCGAAGAGCGACACAGGCAAGATACTTTCAGACAAAAAATAATGAATTCCGTGTTTACTGTTGTTGTACGTCTTTGAAAACACTGGTCGGACCATAACATCTGCAGGCTTATGAGATTACATTTTAAGTCCTGAAAAGATAAACGGATATTTTAGAAGCAAAAAATGCCAAACGTTTGCTTAAATTGTAATTAAAAAATTTTTGAATGTCATTTTTCTCTATTTAATGTGTTCGTTTGTTTAATTTAAAAAAATTTTTTTTTTACATTTTTGTCTAAGCAATTTAAAGACAGCGCATTGGTGTTTTGATGGACATTTCTACAGATTTCCGATATCTTTAGTTGCAGCTGTAACCACTTGACTTACTCCTCAATTGTGTTTCAGGTTCCTGGATCAGATGAGGAGGACGAGGCCAGACAGGAGGACTACGACGTGTTCAGAGTTTACATCTCTGAGGAAGAGCAGATGAACAGAGACAGAGAGAGAGACAAAGGAGCTCACGCTGATGGGCCTCAGGATGCTTGTTACCCAGAGACAGAAGGAGTTTTGATTGGAGAAGGCGGTGAATACGACTTCAACCCCGTAGAAGATCTCAGCTCTGGAGGACTTTCAGCCGAGACTCTCCGTGCTTTCAGGCGCAGACTGTCGGACTCTAAGATGGGCCGGGGCAGAGGAAAGGGCAGGGGGAGAGGTTTTAAAAGGAGAAGGTGGGTGTCATCTCAGGAGAAAAGACCTTCTGCCTTGGCTGCGCATCAGGATTTATGGTACCTCACAGCTGCGGGATTGGGAGGGGGTTTTGGGCTGGACTTCAGCCAAGAAGGACTTAAGACAGCAGGTTACGTGTCCGTTGAACTTCCACAGTTAGACTTCGGCATGGGCGATGCTTCTGGGGAAAAGGTCTCACCAATGGCAGCAAACAGTTTGAACCAGTTTTCCCTGGAGGACTCTAGTTGCAGTGCAGGTGAAGGGGGTTCAGGGTTAAACGCTGTTGGAGCAAACGAGGGAGGGGACGAGTCCGTCGCTGTGGTGGGGTCTACTTCCAGTGTAGTCGGCCCAGTAATCTGTGAGCACTGCGGCATGACTTTCCCATCAGCCCACTCCCTGGCCGTCCACTCCCGCTCCACTCACCTGCTGTACGCCTGTCCCTGCTGCGGCAAACACTTCCACCACTCGGTCAACCTCACCCGACACATGGCTGTGCACCAAGGAGCCGGCAAAACGCACCAGTGCCCCCTGTGCTACAAGACTTTCACTCAGAAATCCACCCTGATAGACCACATGAACCTCCACAGTGGCGAGCGGCCGCACCGTTGCGCATACTGCCACGCCCGCTTCGCCCACAAGCCGGCCTTACGACGCCACCTGAAGGAGCAACATGGTAAAACCACGGGGCAGAACTCCCTACATGAGCAGGAGGAGAGGGAGCGGGCGAACGGAACAGCTGGGAGGATACGAGAGGAGGAGCAAGAATGTCTGGTTACTGAACAAGTGTCATAGACCAAAGCGTCGTAAGACCTGAAGCTCTTCAGGTTTGACAGTTTACTTCAGTTAGATTTGGACAAGCAGTCCAGTGATCAGTCTGTAGGGTCCCAATGTGGATATTAGGAAAGCGCTAAAAATGACTGTGATGCCTTTAAATTCTCTGACTGCCAACATAAGAGCTCTTATAAATGAAATGTGTTAGGTTTTTGCATAAAAATGTGAATACTAAACAATGGCTGCTTTTGAAATGACTGAGACATCAGGCCATTTTTTAGTGACTTACTGACTTGTCATAGAAGGAAAACAGAGGTGTTAACATTATTGATGGCTCTATTTAATTGTTGCCCCTGTAAGCTGAATCAATATGAAAGATACCAAGACCCTGAAACCAAAGCCAATAAGTACAATTTAATCATACTTATTTTTAATATTTACAGCTGTGTTTCTCCGACTGTGTCAACTTAAAGGCTTGATTTTAACATCTTAAGAACAGTTTGACTCAGAACTGTAAATAAAAGAATCGAAAAGTGTCCTCTCTGCTTAGTTGCCTGTGTGTTAGTTCTTGTGCACAGGCGTTTCCACATATGTTGCCTGATTGGACCTCAGACTGAGCCTGAGAAACATCTCTCAATATGCTTTTGATGAAGATGTGTAAAATATGTGAAGGTCTGATGTGACTTATTCCTCTGTTGCAAAACATTGTTCAGGAAATAAAGTCTGAAAGTGTGAACATTCGGGGGGGAGGCTTTGTCACCCATGCATGACGTCTCTCTCTTCTCACAAAATGTCTTATAACACACATAAATACTGCATGCACCACCAGAAACTGTTGCTTTTTCACACCTTTTTTGTACTTAGACGTTCTCGAGGAATGGATCTAGATAAGAAGATATTATCACCACATACTTTACAGTTGCACACATGGTGCAATACATTTGGATACTTTTAAAACATGGTGAATAAAACAAGAACAGTTTATACAAAGAAATGCAACAGTTAAAGGATTTTTGTGTCTAGTTAATAACATTTCTTCAATGCACTGGAGGTATTTGGGTCCTTTTATTTTTACATAGTGTTTTTGTGATATGATACTTGTACTACTTTTCTCCTGTACGATTAGGCAAATATTAAGCTTTATTATTTTTTTATTGTCTAAATGAAGTTTTAAGAGCGTTTTAGGCTGCAAACAATTTACAATATATACTGTCATTTCTCCTTTTTACAAATTGGATCATTTTTGAAAGACTACATTTCTCTTCTCAGGGATTGATACTAATTATACGATACAGGTAATAACAGTTTAAATACTCTTTCACCACTGTCTTAAGGCTGTGAATGTTGGAGTTGGTAAACTGGGAACTGGTCTTGTCTTCTGTACTGGACTGCCAATTTTGGTTGTAGCACACATGAACTGCATAATTAATGCTTCATCTACTTACCTGCTTTTCTGTGTAATTCCCACTTGGCTAGATCACACTATCATTTTTCTATAGGGCGAGAAAAAACGCTCTGGCTTGTTTGTATTTCTTTAATTTATCTACTATCATTTTTGGCGCAGCTAAGTGATGGATGCTGCTTCGATGTTCCCTCAATACAGTGACAGGTGGAATTGTTTTGGTGGAACATTTGCTTACAAAAATTGATAATCCCTCAGAAAAAAGAACCTGGGGGGCTGCCTTACTACGCAAACTTTGAAGTTTTTGTGTGGTAGTTTGCTAGCTGGGAGGTTATTGCTGGTTTGTCAAGTAGGTAGGAGGATTTTGACAGCGGTAATGTGCATGTAGCAGAAAGGAAGGACGAAGAAGCCTGAAATGGGTGCCAATGCCAATAGCAGCCTTGTACCCACAGCCTGCATCTCGTGAGTCAGACTACACTCAAGGTAACAAAGCACAAATAGTATTTATTGAGCTCCACAAAACAAATCTCTAGTTTCATGAGCAAAGCTGCCACACGTAGCATCACATTCCAACTACTGATTCAAAAAAGACAACAGAAATGTTCCTACTTATCCATACAATTTAAGCAGTCTTAAAAGCAAAAACACAAAGAAAGGAACTCGTCATCACAGGAAATCTTCACTGTACACCACTTGGTTCCTCTTGTCCCTGTAGGAGCCTTTAGTGCTGTTCTGCACAGCTGTGAAAGAGAGAAACCATGGAGAAGGTTAATCCACGCTATGCCGACACACAGGCAGCTTGATCGGTGTCTAAACAAACAATAAGAGCGCCATGTTTACCCAGTGAAGCCCACACAGATTTGCCAGTGGCAGCATCCAGCATCGGCTGCTTCCTGGCAATGCTGACTTTGATGTGAATGTCTCCCACCGTGCTTCCATTCAGCTGCAAGACAGAAACAGCAAGAACAGTTTAGACTTCTAGTCTGCTTCGTCTACATAAGCAAAGCATCCTAGAAACTACAGTTAGTAATACATTAGGGAGAAGAGCTGGTTGATTTATTACAGCAAAAATTTGTTTGAGCACAACCATCCATCCATTATCTATACACCGCTTAATCCTCACTAGGGTCGCGGGGGGCTGGAGCCTATCCCAGCTGATTTAGGGTAAAGGCAGGGGACACCCTGGACAGGTCGCCAGTCTATCGCAGGGTTACACTTAGAGACAGACAACAAAGCACAAAAAAAGTGTATAATTTTGGCAGTGAAGTGGACACAAAACTGACAATCAATTTCTAATTAAGCACCATAACATCTGCATTAGCCTGCTAATTATCAAAAAACAATGAATTAAAATGCTTAACTTAAGAAAATTTGAAGGTATTATCTCACACATAAAATTTTTAATTTTCAACTTATATTTTCTGGTTTTGACCAAATTCACTAACTAATCAATTATAAAAAGGTAAATACACATGGCGCTGTGGTACTAAAAACCTGGAAAACAGATATGGCAGCAAAAAGTAGTAATACTATAAGAAATCCTATGTTAAGCTGTACCAAGTTTTAATATTCTGATCATTAAATCTTTTATAATACTTAACAAACTCGTGGCAATACAGTCTGAAATTTTAACACCTTAACATAAAAGAAAGTAGAAACATTTATACAACTATTGTACCATTTCTGTAAATAGACATTAAATAACTCTGAAAGTCTGTAAATTAAGCATTCAATACGTTTATGAATTTATTTCTAATTACTGTTTCACTACTTTAACAATCAACTGTGTCTTGAATTACATGTGTTGTATTTTATATATCGTCAATCATCTGTTTTGTTGGGATGCTTTGGAAGACGATCACTTACAGTGGGGCAAAAAAGTATTTAGTCAGCCACTGATTGTGCAAGTTCCTCTACTTAGAAAGATGAGAGAGGTCTGTAATTTTCATCATAGGTACACTTTAACTATGAGACACAAAATGAGAAAAAAAATCCAGGAACCTAAGAATTTACTTGTAAATTATGGTGGAAAATAAGTATTTGGTCACCCACAAACAAGCAAGATTTCTGACTCTCACAGACCGAAGCTCTTCTGTCCTCCACTCGTTACCTGTATTAATGGCACCTGTTTGAACTTGTTATCTGCGTAAAAGACACCTGTCCACAGCTTCAAACAGTCAGACTCCAAACTCAACCATGGCCAAGACCAAAGAGCTGTCAAAGGACACCAGGAAGAAAATTGTAGACCTGCACCAGGCTGGGAAGAGTGAATCTACAATAGGCAAGCAGGTTGGTGTGAATATATCAACTGTGGGAGCAATTGTAAGAAAATGGAAGACATACAAGACCATTGATAATCTCCCTCGATCTGGGGCTCCACGCAAGATCTCATCCCGTGGGGTCAAAATGATTATGAGAACGATGAGCAAAAATCCCAGAACTACACAGAGGGACCTGATGAATGACCTGCAGAGAGCTGGGACCAAAGTAACAAAGGCTAGCATCAGTAATTCACTATGCCGAGAGGGACTTAAATCCTGCAGTGCCAGGAGTGTCCCCCTGCTTAAGCCAGCACATGTCCAGGCCCGTCTGAAGTTTGCCAGAGAGCATATGGATGATCCAGAAGAGGATTGGGAGAATATCATGTGGTCAGATGAAATCAAAATAGAACTTTTTGGTAAAAACTCAACTCATCATGTTTGGAGGAAGAAGAATGCTGAGTTGCATCCCAAGAACACCATACCTACTGGGAAGCATGGGGGTGGAAACATCATGCTTTGGGGCTGTTTTTCTGCAAAGGGGACAGGACAACTGATCGATGTTAAGGGAAGAATGAACGGGGCCATGTATCGTGAGATTTTAAGCCAAAACCTCCTTCCATCAGTGAGCGCATTGAAGTAGCAACATGGCTAGGTCTTCCAGCATGACAATGATCCCAAACACACTGCTCGGGCAACGAAGGAGTGGCTCCGTAAAAAGCATTTCAAGGTCCTGGAGTGGTCTAGCCATTCTCCAGACCTCAACCCCATCGAAAATTTGTGGAGGGAGTTGAAAGTCTGTGTTGCCTAGTGACAGCCCCAAAACATCACTGCTCTAGAGAAGATCTGCTTGGAGGAAAGGGCCACAATACCAGCTACGGTGTGTGCAAACCTGGTGAAGACTTACAGGAAACAATTGACCTCTGTCATTGCCAACAGAGATTATGTTACAAAGTATTGAGTTGGACTTTTGTTATTGACCAAATACTTATTTTCCAACATAATTTACAAAAAAAATCCTTAAAAATGCCACAATATGGGTTCCTGGATTTTTTTTTTCTCATTTTATCTCTCATAGTTGAAGATGATGAAAATTACAGACCCCTCTCATCTTTCTAAGTAGAAGAACTTGCACAATCAGTGGTTGACTAAATACTTTTTTGCCCCACTGTATATTATTGTGAGTTTAACTACATACAGGAATGTACAAACCTCAGCCACAGCCTGGTCAGCAGACTCCATCTTCTCAAATGTGATAAAAGCACAACTGGAAAGAGGACGGGAGGCAGGAGGGAATAGAACGGTATTTAATTACACTGTGGAGTGCCGTATTGTTGTGCAGACAATCAGAACAACAGGTGGAAAGGGCCAATACGTGCACAGGGCTTTGTTTAACGGCTCCGTACTTGCGTGGGTTGTCCATGGAGAGGTCAATGATGTTTCCGTGCTGAGAGAAGGCAGAGCGCAGGCTGTCCTCAACAAGCCCAGAACCGTAAACGTACACCGTGTTCCCCTTTCGCACGCCTCGCCGCTCTGGGTATGAGTCTGACCCTGATGGTAAAAACAAAGGAGATAAACAATTAACATTTCATCAGCAGGCTTTGACCCCAACATAGAAACATTACAGAAACTTCAAAGAAAATTCGAGTATAGTGGCAGAGAAATATTCCATCAGTGTTACTAAATGGCACAGAATAAGTAACGACATAGCAATAAAAAGGCATTATAGGTCTTCTGATGTCTTCCTACATCTGTTATTTGTCTCATCTCTTACAGTTTCCATACTTTTTTGGATCTATATGTTATATACTGGGGCTCAGGTTTCAAACACCCAACTTTAATACACTTTACAGCAGCCCCTAATAGGATTTGTAGCAAAGATCTTTCCTCAAAGCCTTGTGGAACTACACCAGCAGGACTATTTTTGGATCTTTGAGAATATCACAGCAGAAAACCTCTTTAACTGCATCCAAAAAGCTCTCCAAAGAGCCTCCAGCAAATCCAAAATGCTGCAGTGAGTACAGACGGAAACTAGCAGGAGATCAGATTTCTCCAATATTAGTTTCTCCTCACTGGCTCCCTGTAAAACCAAAAGATAATTTAAAATACTTTGCCTAACGTATGAAACCCTTCATGACCAAGCTCCATCTTATCTTAAAGACCTCAAAGCACCATATTGTCCCAACAGAGCACCTCATCCTTAGACTGCTGGCCTACTTCTGGTTTCTAGGGTTTCCAAAAGCAGAATAGGAGGTAGATTCTCCAGTTATCAGGCTCCTCTGCTCCCAGTTAGGATTCAGGAGGCAGACACCCGCTCTACGTTTAAGATTAGGCTTAAAACTTTTCTTTTTGATAAAGCTTATAGTTAGGGCTGACTCAGGTGACTCTAAATCATCAGTTAGTTATGCTGCTGTGGGCCTAAATTGCTGGAGGACTTCTCATAATGCACTAAGCACCTGTATTGATGCTCTTGTTTCATTCTCCATGAATTTATACCACAATTGCATGTCATTAACTTTGTGTCTTCTCTCTCCTGTAGCTTTTTCCTGTCTGTCCTCTCTTCCTACACTTTTCTGCAGGTATCTCTGGCTTTTGAGATGCAGGTTTATGATCTTTTCCCTGCTTGTCTTTCCTCTTTTCACTCTCGTCTACAGCAATCAGTCACAGCCTGAGTATGGTCCTGCTGGAGGTTTCTTGCTGTGAAACTGAAGTTTTTCCTCTGCACTGTCACTAACTAATGCTTAAGGGGTAATTTTCAGGTTTCTCTATATGATATTGTAAGTTAAACTATAGCTGTCTCGATCTTACAAATGCAAAGTGACTTGAGATTACTTGTGTTGTGATTTGGTGCTAAATTAAGAACACTGAATTGACACACACAGTCGGGGACCACTTTGCCCTAATGTTACCTGTGGGACCCTGAAGTATTTTGTTGTTAACCTCCATTTATATTCTCTTCAAATGTTTCTCTCTACATACTTTGCTTCAGGTATCTAATAATATATTTGTGTTTGTCTCAGCTTCCATCTTTCTTGTTTTTGTAGTATTGGTTTGTTGGGCTCGTGGACAAAAATTCTGAAGACAGTTACTTTTTTTTTTTTTTTACCTTGTCTTTAACATTTTCTGAATTCCTCCTGAGCATCTGAAAAATGCAGTACAAACTCCCTTCTTCTCTGTTGGAGCTGATTAATGTGGAATAACAGATTTAAATATCTATGTGCATGTTTAGACCACTTTTTGAAGCCTCCTTCTATATATATTCTACCGTTTGGCTAACTGTATATACTTCCTACTGGTTCCTTTTGTAAATATATGTATATATTCTTATTTGTTTTTTTATACTTGTACTTTTATACTTTTGCACCACTGGAGTTGTCTTTTAATTTCGTTGTACGTTGTGTATGATGACAACAAAAGCATTGTATTCTATTCTATATGTGATAGTAAAAAGCTTTTACGATAACCTTTACTAGCTACAGATGATATTCACCTAGACGAGCCGACGATATTTGCATGGATTTCCAAAAAATGTTAAAAAGGAACCTCTGTGCACTTTTACATTTGAGCAACTTTTAGGAAACTAAAAAAAATGACACCTGAAGGGGCACAAATCATAGTTTCTTTTTTATACTAGGCACACGGGTTTATGTGTGATCCTTCATCCGTGAGGTTCTCAACTGTGCAGCTCTGAAGTAATGACTGAAATGTGGGAACCCCAAGATTTCATTTGACTCAGATCTTGTGACATCTATAGATAACATCTACAATAAGTAACCTTGGAAATCTTAAAATCATACAGACATGGACAATTAGAGTAAGAAAGCAAGCACTGACCATCAATCCAGATCTTCATTACAACATCTACGGTAATTATTGTATTATAGCCCTCCACATATCTAAAGAGGAGGGATGAAACTGCCTACATGTTTCAAGCCAACGTTCGGCTTTAAGTTTACCTCAATACAAAGTACAGTTGTGACTTGATAATCCGACCCTTAACAATCCGAAAACCTTGCTATCCCACAGGTTTTTAGGAAAAACGAATGGAAGCCATTAAAAAAAGCCTTAACTTACTGACAGCCTTGGATTCCGACTCCGACATGACATTTTATGTCACAAATAAGGATAACGGCGTAATACCTGACTTAACAATCGGACAGATTGGCTACGTTCAGACTGCAGGACTTAATGCTCAATTTGGATTTTTTTGTGAAATCCGATTTTTGCGAGTTTGTTCACATTTCCAATTAAATGCGACTTGTATGTGATCTGCTGTGTGAACTTCATATGACCCAAACGTGTCCCACATGCGCAGAAGAGGATAAAATGACGTCACACGCAGCAAGCATGCTCAGTGTTTGCGGAAGTAAACATGGATGGCAACGGTGGAGCATATCTTGCCCGCCACCACCAATGGTGGAAACAGAACTGTGACCGATAACTAAACCAGCATCAGCAGCCAAATACTGCCTGTGTGTTCTGGCCAGTTCCAGCCCGGGGGTGCGCTCCGTCGGGGTGGAATTGGCCGGAACATGCCACGATGCGTAGTGTTCTAACAATACACTAGTTATTAGAACTATAAACAATAAATATTAACAACAAATTACCCTTCAAGCATCAAGCCCCGACTTGTATCTCTACCTCTGTCTTGACAATCCGACAGCCTTTTTTATTTTTTTTTAAAGATATTTTTTGGGCTTTTTTCCGCCTTTAATGACAGTGACAGTGAAGATAGACAGAGAAACGTGGGGAGGAGAGTGGGGGAATGACATGCAGCAAATGAGCCGCTGGCTGGAATCGAACCACAGCCGCTGCGTCGGGGATTAAAGCCCCTATACATGGGTCGCCCGCCCTACCCGACAAGCTATGCGGGCGCCCCATCCAACAGCCTTGTTATCCGACATAAAAGAAGGTTTTACATTTAGTGTTGGATTATCGAGACACAACTGTATATAAATTTATTCAACACAGCGACCAACAGAAAATGGTTACTCACGTCTGAATGGTCCATCTCTGTCTCTGTCCCGGTCCCGGTCCCGGTCTCGATCTCTGTCTCTGCTTCGGTCTCTGTCTCTTTCTCGCTCCCGGTCCCTGTCTCTGTCCCTGTCCCTGCCTCTGTCTCTTTCCCTGTCCCGCTGTCTGTCTCTGTCTCTTTCTCGATCTCTGTCCCGCTCTCTATCCAGGTCTCGGTCACGCTCTCGCTCTCTGTCTCTGTCCATGTCACGGCTGGACGACATGCCACCTCCATCGTCCTCGTCCCGGTATCTGTCGCTGGAACTGACGAAGCTGCAGGAGCGCACAAGGAAATTACTCTCAAATAAACACTGTCAGCATATTAAACGTGCTGCTTTGCTTCATCACTGTGGTTTTAGATATTACCTCTCATACAGAGATTTCCTGTGGGCTCTCTTTCCAGACTAGAGGTAACACAAAACAATAATTAAAAATCTGCCACAGCCATACATTTCAGATATGTAGAAAACTGTAAAATAAAAACAAACTTATGTATATTAAAGGAGAGATGCCAAATGCCACACAGTGGCCATCGTATATCAGGCTTTTAATCTCTGCTATACCTCAGGTTGGTCTTCATCTGTAGAGACGCTCCTTTGGAATGGTAAGAAAGCAGGAACTGGGCCTTTTTCAGGGTCCTGTCAGAAATGTAGAGCAAAAACAAACCAAATGAACAAACATAACAAAGCAAGAAAAAAGTTTAACCATCAACCAGTGAACTTTTAAAATGTTCAATCACCAAATGCTCCAGTGCTTTTAGGCTTTCTCTTTGTGTCTGTCAAGCATGTACCAGATTCCATATCAACATATCATTAATCAGTCATACACTTCACTCCACTACCTGGTCATATCCTAACCAGAAAATAATGTTGAAAGATATGGTTAATGTGATACTAATGACATCCCACCTTGAGTTTGATTTCCAGCATTCGAGATCGTTTGAAGCCAGAGTTCTTGTTCTCAGATTTAATAGCACTGATGGCCCCCGACTTAATGAGCATTTTTGCTTGCTCTGTGGCTGTTGCAGTGTCAACGACAGGCTGGTCCGACAGTGCTGTGACAAAGAGAAGTGTAAAGTGAACAAAAGCATGCCAAATGTTTAAATAAGTCAAGGCAGTTCGATGAATAATTAATAACTGGAGTGAACAAAAATATAATTGCACAAATGTATTTTTATCATATTTTATTAAATTCTTTACATTCTTTTTAACATTTATTTTTCAACCCATGGTAATTCTACGACAGAATGGACCAAATATGCACTATATTGGAAAGATCGTAAGTGGGACCCTAGACAAGAAATCCTCAGTCAGTAACAAGTCACACACATGAATTGGTGAGAATTTTTCAGTTGAACAGCTTAAAAAAAATACTTTTTGTGCACTATTGGCTACATTTACATTTTTTCAGTGTAAAGTCCCTTTTTATTAGATAAATGGGTCACTTCAACATGCCTGAATATTTCAACTTTAAATTATCAATCTGTGTAAGGACAAGACAGTTTACAAATATGCAGACAAGTTACGTAAGTTTTTTGCTGGAATTTTTGGTTAAAGTGTATGATTTCTCTTTATTTTCGTATTTGTGACAACATACTACATTTGTTACCAAAAAAAAAAACAGAATTAAAATGAGTTAATGTGTGTTTGTTCGCTGAGAAAACACAACTTCCTAAACATACAATTGTGTAATGATGTTTCAAGTGAGTCAATTTTACATACTGCGTTTTAAGCCACTCTGGTTTGTCTGGTTGGTTGAACTCTGCTTCTTCAAGGCAAGCAATGCTTTTTTCTACAAAGACAGTGACAAAAACATACATGCACAAAGTGTTGAGACTCAATTCAGTGTAGTCCTCTGCAGTCACATGATGTCACAGTATCCCTAAGGTTACTCACCTTTTTCTTTAGTTTAGCATATTTCTTTTGCAGTGCCTCTTCTTCCTCCGTCAGGGAACTTGGAAATGCCACCATGATGGCAACCGCTACACTACAGAGAATATAAGCTTTAAGCAAACACTGGTATGGTAATCTTAAACTGGGTTTTAACTAACTTTAGTAGTTATTTTTGCTCGTTTCACTAGTGCTTGCTAGCCTATAAGCTAATTAGCCCGCTAGCCACAAATCAAAACACGACTGTATTTTAGGGGAATACGAACGCAATTCATTCACATCAGACGAGAAACAAATCTGCTAAAATATTAAAATTTGGGTAGCATCTTACAGCTACTTTAAACACCGGTTATTATATTACTTTAAAACGATCTAATTTAGTGCACTCACCAAATTCAAACGCTGGCGGCCGCTGATAGCAACAACAACACCGACGCGTAAATATGACGTAGCATTGGACGGCGACCTTTTGCAACGAAAACGTAAAACACACAAAGCACACAAAGCGACATGATTCTAGATTATAACAAGCAATTACATATATAGAAGATTTCAGAAGATTGGTGACACGTTTACAGTTATTTTTCAGTTCCTCTGTCGGCGCTAGCTCAGATTGCCAGCGACTTCCGCTTTTCGAGTTTCGCAACTTCCAAGGCGACAGCAACATCTACTTGGTGGCAACTTTTGGCCTCATTTATGAGTGGGGCCATGGAAAGAATTGGTAAGTTGTGGTTTGTTTAATGTCACGTCGGCTCCTTTAATGTGTACATGTACCTGTAGTGCGTTTCATTATGCTAACGCGCCTTGTTCGTGTAGCTGGTGATGATCTGGCTAACAGAGCAGACAGCTTTCTGTCAATCAGTGCTGCATTCAGCAGTCTCATGGCTTACAGATTTAATAATTAGATAATCAGCCATTAACTATAAACATGTATGGTCAGTCTTTCTTGGATGCATACAGGATAGTCGGACGCTCCTCCCTGGTTGCACATTGCGTGGATGCGGACCAGCCTTATGATTTAGTCCATTTATACAGTGTGTTGTTGTTCTTGTTTCTGCAGATGTGCCCCCTGCGGGCCCCATGGATCTGCCGCTGTCCCTGTTGGAAATGGGATGTTCAGGCAGGTTTGAGCTCATCACACACCCAATGCCTGGCCAGCCTTTACCCCCACAGAGCACGGTGAGTAAGCAGGAGCAGGATGACTGTACACATTTACTTATTTGTTGTTAAGAGCAGTCTCATAAAGGTTTGAAGTGTTAGTTGGTAAATGGACTGCACTTATATAGCGCTTTTGGCACTCAAAGCGCTTTACAGTGTTTTCTCAGTCGCCCATTCACACAGGCATTCACACACCAATGGTGACTAGTTGATTGTAAAAGATTTTAGTAATAAAGGGATGTTTGTTAACCCTCTGAATCCCAAGCAAATTCTGTGTGGTTTCTGATTTTTTTTTCCTGCAAAATAAAGTCCCACACCCTCACCTAAAAGGAAAGATAACTCAAAAATTTCAGATGTGCACTATAATATGAGTATGATGCTGTATATCATAAAAAATGAAAAATTCTGCATGAGTCACTGCTTTCATTTACTACATATCTGATCTGATCTCTTCCTGCTCAGCTCCCTCATGGGCTTCCTCCCACCAGCCTGAACCTGGAGACAGAAGTAGAGAAACAGTTTTTACGGGACCCTGCATGGCTTCCTATACACGACACAGACTTTGCCTTCCAGAAGTTTCTCAAGTACATATGACTGTTGATTACCTTGATGTTGCTGGTGAAAAAGCTGTAAATAGAGTTCTATGACTCATAGGGCTGCAACAGTTAGTCAATTACTTGTCAACTTTTAAATTAATTGTCAGCTATTTTGATAATCGATTAATCTGTTTGAGTATTTTTCTTTTTAAAAAAAATCTAAATTCTCCAATTTCAGCTTCCTAAAGATGAGTATTTTCTGATTTCTTTCCACCTCTGTTATCTTGGACTTTGGGAAACACTGATCTGCACTTTTTTTCTACCATTTTCTGACATTTTATATTCCAAACAGCTAAATTATTTACTTGAATAAAAAAATCACCAGATTTATTAACAATGGAAGTATTTGTCTGTTTCATGCCTGTTTGGGAACCCTAAATGTTGTCTAGGGGGGAAAAATGACAGCATACAGATTAATACTTATTAAAAAGAGACAATGATGAGATATTATAATTATTGTGGTTTGAAATGTTAACGACATATATTTGGCGAAGATGTAATTTTTGTGTTGCCATCTTTACCAGGGTGAGTCAGAGAAACGTTAGCGTCGACTCTCTGCTGAATTGCGCTCCGTCTCCGCTTCACTCTGGGCTTTCTGTCGTCAGAGATCCAACCACAGGGATGCTACTGGACTTCACAGAGGTAATGTTTTGGCTTTTTTCCAAATAATTTCACTGCAGCTGCTGATTCTGTTGCATCTATTTTCCTGATTAATTCTGACTGTAATCAAACTAAACATTTTTGAGGTCAGAAACTATACAGATGCCTTGTTCTACACAGCTGCTGAGGAAGCAGAAGGCAATCATTATGGTTCAATGCATTACCAGTTTAAGCAAATGTGTTGGGTCTGTTTCTCATTTCCTTCACTTTTAGGTGTTACTGGAGAACACTGGCCTGTCAGCAAAGAACTCGCTGTCGTTACAACGGCAGCCTGGACCTCCTTCAGAGAGCATTCGAGGGAGCAACACCAACTACCCCTTCCGTCCTGGTGAGATTATTCATTGACCAAAACATTTGTTTTGTAATTTATGCATTCTTCCTTTAGTTTAGATGTTTTCCAGTGAAGAATTTTTACAATTATTTTTCAGTATATTTGTTGTGATGGTGATTTTCACAGGAGGAATGGAGGAACTCACTCTGGACCAAATCAAAAAGAAATCTGAACTGGAGGAGGAAATAGACTTTGAAAATGGTGATTCTTTGTTGTTGTTTTTTTTACATTTTGATTTGCATCTCTGTAGATTAATGTCAAAGATTCATTGTTTTGTTTTGTTTTGGGTTTTTTTTGTGTCTGTTTGGTTGAATTTGTCATGTTCCTTACATAGATTTACTGAGAGTCCCTCCTGGACTTAAAGCTGGGATGGACTTCACTGACAAAGGTTAGATATCATGTTGTCCATTATGCAAAAAAGGTAGTGGTAACATGGTGCAAATGGTAATAATTTAATGGTTTTCTCTTTTTCAATTTGTGTCTTGAAGATGCCAAAGTAGCAAAGGCAGAGGTCAATCTTATGTCGCTCCTGTCTTCGATGGACAAGACTGATTTGCAGCCTGAGGAGGAGGAGAAGGAGGAAAGCAAAGAAAAGAAAGAGGCACCCAAACTACCCAGAACAAACAGTCTGGAAGACCTGGGCATCAAGGTATTTCAAATATTTTTTGGTATCTGATAAAGTACATTTCCTTAGCTTAGAGTTAACACATTAATGATCAGCAGTAAAAAGTCCACATTAACATGGCATCACTGTAGAAATGTAGTAAATTGACAAGTTGGATAATATAGTTTTAAGGCCCTCACTCTATATTTAAAGCACTCATGTATACAAATAGGGCTGCAGGGTGGCGCAGTTGGTAGCGCTGTTGCCTCGCAGCAAGAAGTTTGCTGGTTCGCGTCTCGGTGGGGGCACCGGAATCTTTCTGTGTGGAGTTTGCATGTTCTCCCCGTGCAGCGTGGGTTCTCTCCGGGTTCTCCGGCTTCCTCCCACACAGTCCAAAAACATGTTGAGGTTAACTGGTGATTCTAAATTGTCCGTAGGTGTGAATGTGAGTGTGCTTGGTTGTCTGTCTCTAAGTGTGGCCCTGCGATAGACTGGTTACCTGTCCAGGGTGTCCCCTGCCTTCGCCCTAAGTCAGCTGGGATAGGCTCCAGCCCCCCCACGACCCCAGTGAGGATTAAGCGGTGTATCGATAATGGATGGATGAATGTATACAAATAAATCTGGATCATATTCCATGTACATATAAAATAAGACCAAATGGCACTTTTAACACATAGAAAAACGTATTTTAATTTAACACTTGAAAGACATGTTGAAAGTTGTTTACAGCCAGAAACTGTCAAAACAGAAAGAATCATTGGACTTTCAACTTACTAACGGTCCTTGAACTACTCGTCCATGATGTAGTTCAAAGACTGTGATATTTTGTGATCATTTATCAAAATCACTTTCTTGACTAATATCTCGTTTTAAAAAATGCCATAAACAAGCAGTTGCTTACCAAAGTTAATTACCAAAAGTCTCAAATATATATTTGAGCAGAAAAATAATCTGTTGGTGTGACGGGGCCCCTTGATGTTCACAGGACGTGGATGGCAACAGTAATATCAAGTCATAAGTACAACAAAGAAGAGACTGAGTTATTAATAGTGTCTTTAAAAAAGCAGGGAAAAAAACTGAAATAATGCCAAGTATTTGTGTTGATTAATTATGAGAATTAAAGCGGTTTTTGGATTGGATTGCCGTTTTTGTCCCTTAGCTGCAGTCCAGTGTGCCAACAGTCGTCAATACACATCATGAAATAAATAAAAGATATATACACATATAATAAACATACAGTAGATGTCATTGTATTAGGACTAAAGGTCAATCGATCCTTTGCTGACGTGTGTGTGTAATAGCAGTGAGACCTCCAGCGTGTTTAAAGAACCCAGCAGCTGAGAGAACAAATGATCTCAGATATCTGTTTGGTTTGGCCCTCCTAGTGAAAGCGATTCAGCAGGAGTCTAAACTCAGCATGAAGACAGTCTGCCAGGGTGGCCTCTCTGTGACTCTAACTCCTGTCTTTTGGCAAAGTGTGACAGTCTTTCCCAGCCTATTTGCAGCGTTCAGGGTTTTTATTTGTTGTCCAGTCAATGCCTGAGCTTATTAGTGTTTGTTAGAAAGTTCCTGTTTTTTTTTTTTTAGAACATCTCACATAAATGCATATTGTGTTGATTTGTTTGATACAAATCACAGACAGAAGTCTAACGTAGAGAACTGAGCCACTTGTACCTCATGTGACTGTTTGCAGCTAAATATCAATCCATTGTTTCAGTTCAGACAACATGTGAACTTATCTTGTACACTGAAACTAATCCCAATGTAGCGCAGCTCTGTCTTTTTATGACCTATATTTCACTCTGCTGTTGCCTCTGGCTAAACATTAACTGCGCTGAAGTCCTGTTCTCCTCCTCTGTCTTCAGGATGCTGTATCATCCTCGTCTCCTGCAGAGAAAGGAAAAGACGAGAAATCGAAGCCAAAAGAGAACCCAGAGGAAAACAAGAAGTGGGCCATTCCTGTGAACATAACTTCACCCTGTGAGGATTTCTATAAGCGTATCCCCAACCCAGCGTTCAAGGTGGGGACTCAAGTTATCATCCAGTTAGCTAAAAATATGTCTATTTGTGCCTCTGTTTATGCCCTGTATGTCTCAAAACGTTACACTTCCCCCCCACCTCCTCACTTATTTACTGTCTCTGTGATGAATCACTACATGAAAGCACTGTGGCCAAGCATCCAGTGCTAAATAATGTGTTTCTCTGCCCTCCCCTCGTCAGTGGCCGTTTGAGCTGGATGTTTTCCAGAAACAGGCTGTGCTGAGGCTGGAGGCTCATGACTCTGTGTTTGTAGCCGCACACACATCAGCAGGCAAAACAGTGGTGGCCGAGTATGCCATCGCTCTCTCGCAGAAACATATGACAAGGTGTGTATTTGCTGGTGTAAATTAATTTCTTCTGGCCTCCCTGTGTGTGTAAATGCACAGCTGTACAGTGGGTTAAAGGCTCTTCCGAGAAAGATGGAAGACAGCTGTTAGCTCAGCTTTGAAGTTAGAAAGGAAGGACGTTAGAAACAGACGATACAGGAAAAACGCAAGAAATGTAGTGTTAATACATGAGATACCATAAACAAGAGTGAGACCAAATACGTTGTAAAAATGAATGAATTTAGTAAATCGCAGGATTGTTGTAACGAAGTAGTGCCAGTGCCATGGTGCCCTATTTTGAGGGCTCTGTACAGTATACACACTCAGACACTCAAATACAATAATAAATACAGTGAGCTATATATGAACAATACAGATAATGCAACAACATGAGCATCTGGAGATGAAAGCTGCTTTTTACATATATGACCAAATATAATCGTGGATGTAACAGTGTCAGTTCAACTGCTATCAACCTGTGGCTGTAGGAGTTACTATGGCAACATAATGTTTACATAACACCAGCAGGACTAAAGCAGAAGATAAGCATAATTTGATAATAGATAAGAAGGGATTTTGTGCTGAGTCTTTATTCATCTCTTTAGTATGGTGGACATCTTTATGTTCTAAGTTTTGACACAACCACTGGGTGGTACTAAAGTCAAAGACTTTAAAATTCTAAAGAAGGAGCTATAGGGATTGAATTTGCTTCCTGAAAAACTTTAAAGAAGGCAAAAAGAGGTATTTCTTTGGTTTTGATCATTCAGTTAGCTGCAGTGATGACAATAGTAATTGTTATTGCTGTCATTCTGATGTCAAAAATATTTCTTTAAAAAAAATGTATGGCCCAAGTTTATTTATTTATTTATTTTTAACTTTTTCCTCTATGAAAGAGACATTTGTGTTCTGAAACATCCTTCCTTCACTCATTTTTGCCCTTGTAAAAAGAAAAGTCATGTTTAACAAGGAAAAAGCTTGCTGTTATTAAGAATCTCTTTCAAAATGGCGTCCTGGTCAAGACAAGAAGCCACACAAAATAAGAGGTTATAGACATACTGACATATTACAATTTAAATTAAGGTTACATAAAGATGAAGAGTGTGTTGCAGTATCATAAACACACAAAATATATAACCAAGTGCTTAAAGCGGACTTTTGAGATAAAGAGCTTAGAGAATTTGCTTAACTCACAGAATAATATGTAGTATATAGTTCATGTATAATTAGACATAAGATGTGCAGACTAATGAGTGGCTTTCTTTACATGTTGTTGATTCCCAGACGAACATATCTGAAATCAGACTCCCGAATGTCTGATCAGTATCAAAACTGCATATCTTTCACATTTTGATTTTCTTTCTGGTGTTTCACAGAACCATCTACACTTCTCCTATCAAGGCTTTGTCCAATCAGAAGTTCAGAGACTTTAAAAACACATTCGGGGACGTTGGACTCCTGACAGGCGACGTCCAGCTCAGTCCTGAATCTTCTTGTCTCATCATGACCACAGAGATCCTCAGGTACTCGGACTGCCTTTTTTGTAAATATTAGAGTGATATTTTCATTAAATAAAGGTTCTAGATTCCCTTTTCTTGCTCTCATCTCTTAGGTCGATGCTTTACAACGGCTCAGAGGTCATCAGAGACTTGGAGTGGGTGATCTTCGACGAGGTTCACTACATCAACGACGCTGAGGTCGGGCAACGTCCCGCAGATTTTCCCCTTCAGTTATCTGATGCACTGATGAAATCGAGAATAATTGTTTGTTTCCTCTTCCACTGGTTTTCCTCAGAGAGGGGTCGTGTGGGAGGAGGTTCTCATTATGCTTCCCGATCACGTCAGTATCATCCTCCTTAGCGCCACGGTGCCAAACGCTCTGGAGTTTAGCGAGTGGATCGGGTAGGTGCATCACACTGCTGTCAGCCAAAACCTGAATATATTGTTGAGCAGTAATAGAGGCTGTCGTCTATTTTTAGTTCTCAGACTCACAAAGCTGCTAAAGACTGAGTCACAGGCTCCTAGCATCAGTTGTGTTTTTGTAATCTTTGAAACTCTTTTGTTTTTTCACTTTCTCATTTTCTGTCAATTCCCAGTCGTATTAAGAAGAGGCATATTTACGTGATCAGCACAATGAAGAGACCTGTGCCTTTGGAGCATCATCTGTACACTGGAAACAGCACCAAGACTCAAAAGGAGATGTTCCTGCTGGTGGACGCTGCAGGAAACTTCCTCACTAAAGGGTACAACTTTTCTTTGTTTTTTACTAAGTAATACCTGTTTCAGATATTCTAGTAATCTGACGGCAACTGAACGTGTCGGCTTCGTATCTGGATGCACATCAAGGTCACTTTTCTGTAAAAGTTGCGCCGGCGATCGTACTTGGTCAGACTTAGTAACATTTTCTTTTCCCTTTCAACACTGCAAAAGTCTGACCTAAACTATTACACAGAGGCAGCGGTACTTTGAGTTGTTGTGTGAACTGATTTTGGGAAGGATTTTTCCACATTTCAGCACCAATATTTGTCCTAAAACATCACAGAGAGGCGAAATACACAGTTTGTATGCCAAAATCACAACACACCTTTGTCCCTCACTTTGTTCTACAATTTCAAATCTATTAGGCTACAAAATGAAATTCCATAAAAATAAAAAATTCACTGCAATGAAAATAGACTAACAGCTTAAAGATTAATGATGTTCACCAATAATTAATGGAATCCAAGTTTGTGTGTTTTCTTGACTCGTAAGATGTCAACAAGAGCTGAAGTTGTTGGTGTTGCTCTTAATTGTTTAGGACTATTTCAACTGAGTTTCTGAAATACCAGCAGCGGGATCAATATGAACTTCTCCAAACAGAGAGTTGCGTGCATTTGCGCGACTGGAACCACTACAGTGCTGATACCTTCATTACATTTTTAGAGTTATAAATTATCCTTGAGGGAGCATAGCAAGAGAATCAGTTCAGGTCAAGATCTAACAGAAAGTCAAACTGTGTAGGTCTGCACATCAGCCAGGTGAGCTGTCACTCACTGAATGGTAATTTAGGCCATTGCTTTCAGTGGTTTAGGACTATTTCATTCATTCATTCATTCATTCATTCATTCATTTATTTATTAAATACCTGCAGCATCAGACAGTAGCAGGATCAATATAAGCAGCTCCAAAGAGAGAAAGTTATAAGCATGGAACAACAGCAGTAACTTAATTAATTAGTTATAGTTATAAATGAACCCTAACATGTAGACAGGATTGATCAGGATCGAGCAACAGGCCACACAGTGAACTTTCCTTCACCTCACTTAGGTGAGCAGTAAAATATTGTGTTACTTCTTCGCTGTCCTCAGTTTGAGTCCTGAGTTTTTCTTTTTACTGTTTAAGAAATCATAAATAAACTGGACTGTTGGTTATTTGGACACTTTGATTAGCTGCTTCTAGTTTAGATTTAGTTGGTTTTTGCATTATTATGCATTATACATCAGTTGAAGTTTTGTCTAATATTGCATGAATGATAAATATCATGTGCGTACCGTGGCGTGTATTTCTGACATTAACAGAAAAGTGACTTCTTTCTGACTGACTAGAATACCGTGACTCTTCACAGATTGATGAAGCCAGCAATTTTCCTTATTACATGTCTGAAATGGGCTTAATAGTTACTTTAGGCTACTTCTCATAAAGGAAGTTGTTTCTTGTTCAGGTACTACGCAGCCGTCGATGCCAAGAAGGAGCGCACCAGCAAACATGCCCAATCATTTGGCACGAAAAACACCTCTCAAAACACCTCTTCCAGTCAGGTGATTCCCTTCTGCCATCTCACTGCCGTTTGATTCCCCTCACGCCATCCTCGTGTTTCTTCTTCTGACCCTTCTCTTTGCTTTCTTTCCCTCCAGGACCGAGCAGTGTGGCTCACCCTCCTGCACTTCCTGTCCCAGCGGCAGCAGACCCCGGTGGTGGCCTTCACCTTCTCTCGGACGCGCTGTGACGAGAACGCCCGCTCGCTGGACTCCATGGACATGACGACCTCCATAGAGAAGGCCGAGATCCACTCATTCTTCCAGAAGAGCCTCAGTCGGCTTCGAGGGGGAGACCGGCAGCTGCCACAGGTAAACGGCAGTCAGCAGGGACCTCAGCTATTATAGGCTGCTTTCTGAAGGGATGGTGCGCACTGCTTGAATTGTAATTTCTTCTTTTATGTGAATATTTAATCATTGTCTGGCATCAACAGCTCCCCAAGGTACAATATACATCATAACAGAAGGATAGAAGAAAGCTTCTCTGTTGTAGGGGTATATTTACTGCAGCAGGCGACTTGAATGAGAAGACAAACTGTGAGCAGCATCTGTCTTCTAGTTGAACTGATATGACAAAAATTAGTCAGCAGTTAACATGTCTTTGCTTTATTGTCTCAAGAAGGAAAGATTTTAGCTTTTTGTCTTTTGTGAGATTAACACAAATATCCTAATTTGAGCTGTTAGGTAAAACAACAACTAGCATCTTGAATGAAAGTATCAAAAGATTTAACCCTTACATACGAGGTATTCGAGAAAAGTTTCAAGACTGGTGTCACAAGAGATGTTTTTCAATTCTAAACTACAAGCTACGGTTTTTCCCTTTGAAGTAATCCCCCTGGAGTCTAACACACTTTCCCAGCCTTCTCTGCCACACCGCCATGCACTCCTGGAAGGATTCTTCCGGGATCCTCCGCAGCCCCGTCATCACAGCCATCTTGATGTCATCCATGTCTTCAAAACAGGTCCCCTTGATGACCCCCTTGAGCTTGGGGAAGAGGCAAAAATCCCACAGAGCCAGGTGGGGTGAGTAGGGAGGTTGATCCAGCATGGTGACGTTCTTCTCAGCCAGGAACCGTTGGATGCTCAGGTCGTTGTGAGCAGGCGTGTTGTCATGGTGCAGCAGCCACAACTTGTCAACTCTCACCTTTTCTCATGCACTGAACGAAGCAAACACCGCAGGATCTCTTTGTAGGCTTGCTGGCTGAAGAGGGAAAATCGTAGTTTGGGTTTGAAATATATCTTTTGTGATAACAGTCCTGGAACCTTTCTGACTCACTTCGTAGTCTTAACATTGCCTGCATGTACTTGAATTAATTTCTATTGATGTAGTTTGTGCATACATACAGCAGAATACAGTAATGCAGCTGCAGACTTGTTGATTTCCTTCATTTAGATCTTGGTCATGAGAGACTTGTTGAAAAGAGGAATCGCCGTCCATCATAGCGGGATCCTGCCGATCCTGAAGGAGGTCATCGAGATGCTTTTCTCACGAGGTCTTGTAAAGGTGAGTCAGGCAGGAAGATTAGAAAAAGAAAGGCACACTTAGATGTGCTGCAGTATCAGTCACAAGAATAATATATGCTTTGTCTTCTTGTATTTTCCACATCTTGCCTTCATCTCTCAGGTGCTGTTTGCCACCGAGACGTTTGCAATGGGAGTGAACATGCCCGCCAGGACCGTGGTGTTCGACAGCATCAGGAAACACGACGGGACTGGCTTTAGAAATCTGCTGCCAGGTTTGACGCTCGCTGTCTGCGTTTTCCTCTCTTTCGTCTGAACCAACATTTGCTATTCCCTTTCATCTCCGAGGATGAATTGGAGTTGAGAAAAAACAACAGCGTTTCGATATCTCTTTCATGTGGTGAACCCTGCTTTCAGGGGAATATATTCAGATGGCGGGCAGAGCGGGCAGGAGAGGCCTGGATGCCACCGGCACGGTCATCATCCTGTGCAAGGCCGGTGTTCACGAGATGGCAGATCTGCACGTCATGATGCTGGTGAGGCCTCAGAACCCACTGCAGCGCTTCACCTGCCACATGGGCTCATATTTCACTCTGCCTTTATTAGTCTCCTGGTAACCACTTCTAGATATCTGAAGCAGAGCTCGATCTCCTGCTTATTTTGGCTGTGATTCAAAGAAGGTGTTGCACACCGAGTTATTCAGTTAACATTTAATTACACAGCTGAGGGGGCTACTTTAAGTCAGTCTCTCTCTGTGCCAGTTTGGTTAGAAGCATTTTGATTTCAGTAAGCTCTGCAACACAAATAATTTTCCTTTTATCCATTTACGCTCTGAGAGGAGCTTTATCTTCTTGACTAAATGCAGGGAAGCCAGAGCCTCCTCCTCTGCAGATGGTACAAAATTATTTTTATGTCTTTGCTGTAGTCTTTTCTGCGGTGTTACAGGACTTTGGAGGCTGATCATATTGATTTTTCAGAGTCAGATAGAGTGCAGGCAGGGGGATTTACTGTGTACTTAACTAAAAATCAGTTGTAAATCCTGTTATAGACAAACTCTGAGAATAAATGCATCTTCACTTGTCATTCCTGTGAGCTTCATAAATCACATAATATGAAGTCAGTGCATCAGTGCACTTTTGACCTTCTAGACTCTGAGCAATTTCTGTTTCTGTCTTCACAGTTTTTACTCACTGTGGGGTCATTTTTTATTGCAGTATAAAGTCCTGCACCTCTATGGAAACAACACAACCATGGTTAGAAGGCAAGAGAATTTAAAAAAATCTCTTTTGTGCAGTATGACAGAGTTATTTTTTTAAAAAGCAGTCATACTTATCACCCTTCAGCTCTGTATAAACAGCCTGCAGTTCAGCCAAAACGTCTGAGACTTTTTGCCATGTGTTTATTGCTGAGTCACTAACTACTTCTCTGTTGTGGTTTGAAGTGCAGAATTCTTTTGTGTGGTAACCCTTTTTTTTTTTTTTTTAATGAGATATATAGAATAAAGAGCTTTTGATGAAATGTCAAGCTTCGATTTGATTAATTTTTCCAACAGAACCAGAAGAGAAGCACATGATTAATTGAAGAACTGTCAGAAAGTTAAAAATATGATGATTCTTCCTGTTTTTACAGTTTTTGCTGATAAAAAATTTTAGGCGATTCTTTGAAAATATGGCACACTATTCAAACCCGCTGGCAAGTTTTAGAGTTCAGAGGGTTAACCCTTGTCGACAGTAAAAAAAATAAAAATAAAAAAAAAAGTTTGCCAGAAGATTTCTGCAAGCTAGAAACAGACAACTCTCCAGAAGGATTTGATGCTGTTGGGCTGCTCCAATTGCGCTATTTCACAGACAGATTAATCACCAGAATAACTGAAAAGGCACACAATCGTCATTCACAGCACCACATGAAGTTACGTGATCTGTCCTATGCATTACGGGACCGATTTGCTTTGGGTCTTTTACGCTTAAAGAAAGGGAAAGCTTTCTACAAATGACTGTTATACCTGTGCTGACTTTCCCCGTATTAAGTTTACCCTCCTCGTCTGGCTCAGGGCAAACCCACCATCCTCCACTCCCAGTTCAGACTCACCTACACTATGATCCTCAACCTGCTGCGAGTCGAAGCTCTCCGAGTGACCGACATGATGAGGAGGAGCTTTTCTGAAAGCCACAGAGACACTCAGGTAACTCCGGCAGGATAAAACCCGTTAAGGCTCATGAAGTAACAATACAGGCAGTAAGTAAAAGGCTACGATACAAAATTAGTAAAAACTTTTTTTTTTTTTTTTTGCAGCAACAGTCTCATTTTGTTGTTTCTGCATTTTATTTCTTTCTACTCTTCTTTCTGTCTGTGCTCTTTTATTTTTTAGGTCATGACAGATGTCTTTCCTCTCCTTTTCTTGTCCTAATCTTTGCCTTCCTCCCTTTGTTAGGCACATGAGAAGAAAATCAGCCAGCTGAAGCAGACGTTGTCGTCTCTGCCTCCTCTGGACACAGATGGCCAGCTGTCCGACATGCTGCCGTACTACCACACCATTACCGAGCTGCGAACTACCACAGAGGCCCTGCAGGTACGTTCCCACTCATACAAGATCATACAGCTTTAATCAGCTGCATTTCTATCATCTACATTTCCTCTCTGCCGTCTCATTTCCAGCGCGCCATTCTGGAGTCTGTGAATGGACTGAAAGCTCTGTCTGTGGGTCGAGTCATCGTGATTAACAACAAACAGCATCTCAACGCTTTAGGAGTTATCCTGCAGGTGGGTGGTTGTTCATGTGATCACACTTTGCTTTTGGGATTTAAAGAGTTTTGTGTCATATGAAGCAGTAACAAGTTGTCAGTGCAATGAAGTTTCTCTGTGACTCCATGTAGTGCCATGATTAATTATTTACAGAATATATTAATGAGACACACTCATCACTCGCATCTACTCATACATAGTGAGGGTACAAATGTGAATATACAAGAACAGTTTTTCTGTACAGAAAAATGTATAAAAGAAGCAATATAGTGCAAAAAATAAGTTAAGATTTGCTCATACGAACTGAGATATGTAATGTTAGATGTACAACTTAGTCTGCAAAAAGGGCATGTGCATGTCTCGTGGCTGAACATATTCCTTTTTGGTTCTGCCTGGATGTTGGGTGAATAAATTTGGGAGCACTCAGATATCTCCCTGATGGGGATGATGCATGATGGATAAAACGCTCTCGGTACTGAACATATGATTCACTTTCTTTTACATTTATTTGTGTGTGAAATGACATGTGAAACAAATGAATACCAATTGCATAAGATAAGATGAGCCTTTATTGATCCCACAGTGGGGAAAAGTGCAGTGTTAAAGCAACGAAGGGGACAGCACAAAAATAGAGTGGCATCGGTAGAAAAAAAACCCAAGAAACATGCACTACTGTAGTAGTGCTGATTGAAGTTGAGATGCAAATTCAACATGTTACTAGTCAGGAGAACAACAAACCCATATAAACTCATGTTAACTACTATAGTAGATAATCACTCTCACAACCTGGATAGGTGATGGAGTCGTCCAGCCTGCATGAGTTTGGATTGTGGAAAGAAACTCACATGTCAGTTCAGATGATTGAGCTGTTGTTGTGCTGCCTGTTCCCACATCTGTCTCCAACATCCACCTCTATCCTCTCTGTGGCAGGTGTCCAACGACTCTCTGAACCGCACCTTCACAGCTCTTATTATCTGCGAGAAGGGCAATGAGGAAAAAGACGGACAAGGCAATGACATCGCCACTTTTCCTCACCTCTACAACACGGCTCTGTTCATACCTGAGGGTAGGTTGATGGCTTCTGGTGCAGATGTTGACTCTGCAGAAAGTTTGGCAGCAGAATGAGAATAATTTTCCCTGTTTTTTTTTTTTTTCTTTCATTTTCCATCAGGCCCTTGCAGCCACACCGTGCAGAAGTTGAAGCTTCAGGAAGTCACAGCCATCACAGTGAAAACCCTCAAAGTGATTCCAGACAGGATCATCGATAACTACAACAAGAGGCAACAGCCACGATTCAAGTATGTCGGCATTCCTTGTTTATGCCTTTACTTTGGAAAAGTGTGCTTTACAGACCAACAAACATAAGCCTTGGTCTGAAGGAAAAAAATATTAAAACTGTAATTTTAGCATAAAAAAACACAACAAATTACAAAAGCAAACATACTTTTACTCCAACCAACCCTTTCCATTTGGAGATCATTGCATCATTTGGTGCAACATCAACACATTCAAACCCATGCATTATGAATATTTTGTACATTTTTACGCTCTGTGAAATTTATTTTTTTCTACATATACTAGAATCTGTGCAATATCTGTATTTTTCTATTTCCGGACAAATCGGTGCAAATAAGATAAAACCTATACAATGTTAGTACTTTTTTATAATTTTTTTTTCCTATGAAGGAATCTGTGCAATAACTTTAATTTGTGCAATATTGTACATATTTGTAGAGTTGTTCGGAATATCCATATATGGAAGAACCAGTACTTGTGATTTTTTTGTTTATTTTTATTTATTCTACTGATGTTCCTTACATGTTTGATTATCATCTCTGCTGCTGTAACACTGCAAATTTCCCTAACAGTGGGAAAAGTCCTATTTTTCTTACCTTATTGTATCTTATCTTGTAAAACTTGTTTTAAGACAGTTGGTACATTTTCAGATTTTTTTTCAAGAGACATAACACATTTATTTGTGTGGTGTTACTGGCTTACATAGCCATTCTGTAAATTACCTATAAGTCTAGACATAATGCTATAAAACTACCTTAAAAACATGAAATATATCACAAATCTGAAATCGTTGTATTTCTGTATCTCAGCACTGAAGCGCCGTTCTCCCTTTCTGTGTTGAGTTTCCTTTTTAACCGTCTCTATCACTCCATCCTGCTTTTTTAGGCATGACCCTCCCGGCCAAGCCATCTCCACGGCGACACAAGAGCTCCTGCGATTGGCCGAAGCCAACCCTGGCGGCATGGCAACCCTCGATCCCGTGAACGACCTCCAGCTGAAGAGTGTCGATGTGGTGGAGGGCTCCATGAGGTGCCGCGTGCTGCAGGACAGCCTCAGGGAGTTCAGCTGCATCCACTCGCCCACCTTCGCAGAGCAGGTGAGTGATTGTGTGTTTGTGGTCTGAGTGTTACTCGAGTTGTGTAACTAAATCTGTGTACTTAGTCACATTTAAATTATTAAATTGAAAGGTAAATACATGTTTTAATCCTCTGAATCCAAAGCATTTTCTGGACATTTTTTTTGCACATGTTGCATTTTTACTCACTGTGGGCTAATTTTTTACTGCAATATAAGAAGAACCAGAACTTCTGTGGAAACAGCACAGCTATAGCTAGAAGTAGAGAGAATTCAAAAATATCTTCTGTACAGAATGACGCAGCTAGAATGCCATGACTCATAACAAATGGAAAAAGCGATGGCAACATTTATTTTGATTTTTCATTTGACAAAATTGGAAAAAAAAAAATCCTGGAATCAACATGAACAGTATTTTTCTTTTTGTTTTTTTTTTTTTGCCGGTGTTGGGCACCACAAGTGGCTCTACACTTTACTACATATGTTTTTAATCTGATTCCATACTTTCTTCCTCTCTGGTCTGTGTCAACACTGCCTGCAGTTCAGTCGAAAACTCCTTGAATTTCTGTCACTTTCACTCACAGCCAAGTCAATGTAGGCTTCAAGCTTGGTATTTTAGTCTTTTTTAAGGTATGGCAAAGATAAACTTTATTTATTTTTTATTTTTTTAAATGAGACAAATAGAATAAAGTGATTTTGATGAAATATCACAATTTTAGGCTTTGATTTGATAAGAAAAATTTCCGAAGGTTCATCAGAAAGTTTCAAATCTGACGCTTCTTTCTGTTTTTAAACTTCCTAGCTGATAAATGGTTTGGTTTTGAGGATTTTTAGAAAGATTTTGAAACCTGCTGGCCGCATGTGGGGTTCAGAGGGTTAATGTTAGGGTACAGGTTGGGGTCAGGTACATAGTAAGTATGGTTCAGGTTGGAGTAAATCTCCAGAAAATGCATGTAAGTCAAAGTAATCTCTCAGCTGCTGGTGTTGACATGTTCAATCACTGATTTCATCCCAGAAGAAAGCACTCTTTCTAACTTATGTGTATTTTTGAGACACTCTACAAAGACAAACAAAGAGACGAGTGTTTTAATTTCAGCGTTTGTTATTAAAGACATCAGATTCCTTTTGTGCAGCAATTGCATATTTATGCAGCTAATTAACATCACACCCTTACATAAGACACTTACTTTGCAATTGTCCCCCGCTTTGATGCCGTCTCTCGTTTCTTTCTGTTCATCGCAGCACCAGTTTTCTTTCTTCCTTCCATCATTTCTCCTGCACTTTTTCAATAATAACATCAGAACTCCAGCCTGAGACTCCTGCCCCTCAGTTGTCTCTCCCTGTCTTCCCTGGCAGCCTCACTGAGGAGTTAAGATGGGACAATGTGAGCTGACTGTTTCTATAATTACACATATAGGCTCATAGCTGCAGCTCATCGCCATCTCACGGTCACAGTTTGCCATTTGAGCCGGCTCACACGCACTCCTCATCACTTGCAAGATAACAAGCTCTTACTCACTGTATCTGCTCTTGTTGTACATTCACACCTTCTTTTGTCTTTATTCAACACCGTGGCAATCAAAAATCAGTGGTTAATGCAGTATACACTACAATGCAAGCTGTTCATTTGCTGTAATTAGCCGCAGCAGGTTTTATGCATCAACCGAGATGCTGCTGTGTGCCGGCAGTGAGAATCCACTAACAACAGGCAGCGTTTGTCCAATACAATGCAGCGTTTCTTTTTTTTTTGTTGCACTGAAATCAGGTCAAGTGCTGCAGTTGTGTAGTCGTGTTAAGCAACGTGTCTGTCTGTGTGTTTTAGTTTGCCCGGGTTCAGGAGAGGATGAGTGTTCAGGAGGAGCTGGACCGGCTGCTGTTCCTGGTGTCGGATCAGTCGCTGACTCTGCTGCCTGAATACCACCAAAGGATCAAGGTTTGGAGCCGGTGTTTTTCTGCCAGGGACTCAACAATTAAAATGTTCAAGCTTCCAGCAAATTTGAAGATTCTTTCTTTTGTTTTCTATGAGTGTAAACTGAATATCTTTGATTTTTGAATGTTTAGTCACACAAAACAAGACATTTGAAGATGTCACGATGGAGTTCAGAAAAATGCAACCATCATTTTTCACTATTTTCTAACATTTAGAAGACTTTTGATTGATTAATCAGTAATTGAAATAATCAGTAGTTGGAGCCCTTGTCCCATCAGTCTGCAGAGTGATTGCTTTATTATGTACATTGAAAATCTGACTGTAGGTCCGTATGTTTGTGTGTCATTCATCATCAATATTTTTATATTTATTTACCATCTACATTTACATTTAGGCCTGTAGTATACAGTACATTTGGTTTAGTTTTGTTACAGCTAAAAATATAAATTATTTTCCTTCATTACTGATTCGCCTGGTAGTTAATTTTTAATTTGTGAGCCATAAAATGCTTAAAAGTCCACATTACAACTTAAATTGGTTATTTTGGCTCATCAATTATCAAAAACCTGACATTTGTCTCAGCTTTTTTTTTTTTTTCAGCATTTTTGCCTCATTCATGTCCTGATTGATAATTAGTGTTCAAGCTGTGATTGATGAACTAGCCAATTGTCAACTATATTATCAATTATCAGTTGTTTCAGTACTGGTTGCTGGAGAATAAATCTTTGAATATTTGCTTAGATGCCTAATAAAATGTGTCAGCCATCAAGATTTAGCGCTTAAATCTACACTTTGTACCTGGTCACTAATTAGCTCCGCTTAATAACTGCGTATTATCTCAAAGTACAGGTTAAGATAAAGAGAATGTCAATATTTGAACTAAATTTAAATAGTTAAAGTTTAACATGAGCAAAAACATCAAATAATTGTTAAGATATTTTAGTTATTTCGCTAAAAACAAAAATGTCATCTTCCTAGCAGGACATTGTAATTCATCCTCTAAGAACCATTAATTTTCAAACAAATAGTTGTTGAGATATTTCAGTCTGGATCCAAAAGTCACAGATCAACTGATTAACTGTCATTTCCACAGACTAATTGCCAGCAGCCCGTTGAAAGTTTAGCTCTGCTGATCCTTATCAAACACAGAGGTTTTTGTCTCCTTCAGGTCCTTCAGTCTCTGCAGTACATCGACAGCAGTGGAGCCGTGCAGCTCAAAGGCCGAGTAGCTTGTCAGATCAGCAGCCACGAGCTGCTGCTTACCGAGCTGCTGTTCGAGAACGTCCTGAGTCCACTGGCACCGGAGGAGAGTGCCGCCCTGCTGTCCTGTTTGGTCTTTACTCAGAACACACAAGTGGAGCCGCACATCACTAACACGCTGCAGGAGGTGAGGTTTGAAAGACATTTTATCTTTTTTTTTATTTTTTTAATTTTAAGCAGAAAGAATCACCTGATTTTTGTGACAGTCCTTGACAGACTCATCTGTGACTTATTGTTTAGTCGGAAAACGTAATCTGAGCCTAAAATCAGGATAATTTGTAAAAATCACTTTTTTCTGCATGTTGTATTTAGATACGCCATTAGTTTTAACCACATTCTGGAACAAACAAAAAAAAGCAAAAAAAACATACAAATTCTGCACTTCTTGGTGCAGTTATGAAGCCATTAGTGACTCAGCTGCAACCAACAGCCACATATCAAAAATTCAGACTTTTCAGCTGAACTGCAGGCAGTGTTTACACAAAGCAGATAGGAGACAAGTATGGAAACAAATTAATATTGCATAAGATCCATACTGTGAAGCATTGTCATTTTTTCAGAATTAGTAACTTGGTAAATTTAATTTGATGCGTTCAAATTGGTGATTTTGTCTGATCAACTCTCAAAAACCTGCACCACAAAATACCAAAAGTAGATATTTGTATCATGGGTCATTTTCTGGCATTCTACTTAAAAAGCATAAAAATGAGTAAAAGATCTAAAGTCTTTCAATGTCCATCAAAAAAAAGTGAAAATCTTCACGTTCTAAAACCTGGGATTTGTGATTTTTTTTTGTTTTTTTTACAGCATTTTTGCTTTATAATAAATGTCGTCAGTGATGATCAGTGTTTAAATTTGATGTCAGCAGTTTGTTCAGTGACTGATCAACCAGCCAATAATCAACTAGTTTAATCTAAAGATATTTAGTGCTGAGAGTCAATGTTGTAACTCTTCACATTTTAGAACCTGGAGTAATTTTTTTCTTTTTCTTTTTTCTTTTTTAAAAAAAATCATTTACCCCTCATAAAGTCTTAATTGATAATCAATGTGTTAAAATTTGATGTACATGATTGATCAGCAAGCCAATTGTCAGTTCATTGTTTCTGAACTAGTTGACGGAGATGGAATCTTTAAAAATTTGTTTAGGTGTTTCATGACAAGTGTGAGGAAGAGACGTGTTGATTCCATTTTTAATTTTTAAAAAAAATCAATGAAATTCAACTTTTTTATCTTTTTATTTTTTTTTTTTATTATAACTGTATCATACTGCCATTTTTGGGTTCTCTCTACTTCTAGTCATGGTTGTGTTGTTTTCATAGAGGTGCAGGAACTTATATTGCAGTGAATAATGAACCCACAGTGAGGACTCTGTGGAAACTCAGTCACAAACAAAGTCACTCATGTTGTACAGACTTGATGCATAACATCCTGCAGAAAGGACAACAAGAACACTTCACTTGAGTCATCCCAGTCACTGAGTAAATCACTCATTCGCCTTTGCTGCGTCAGTGTACAGAGCTGCCCCGACATGAAAGTGCTTTATGAGGGCTTGAATTAATAATGACTTAAGTAGCAGTTTCTAAGTCCTCCTGTCAAAAAGGAGTAAAACACCATGGCGCAGTTTGCAAAACTGATTTCCTGGACATAAATGACAAGGTCACCCTGTTAATGCAAAGTGAAGAGCAGCTTGTAAAACGTAAATGTGTGTCTGGCAGTTTCTTACCCACTTTATCCTGTTATTTCTTTCTTGGTGTTGCTTTTTATTCCAGGGCATTGATAAGGTATTGTCAGTCGCCAAGCGAATCGGGGAGCTGCAGCGGGAGTGTGAAATACCTCAGACCGCTGAGGAGTTTGTGGGCCAGTTCAAGTTTGGTCTGACGGAGGTGGTGTACTGCTGGGCCAGAGGCATGGTGAGGTTTAACATGTGATGCATCTGGTGTTAGGATGCTGTCTTCATCTGGATAAGATCAAATGCATAGTAACGGGGCAGCCAAACAATTGTACTTATTAAAATGATCGTAGTCATGCAGACTAGTGAAAACAGTTATACTTGTGCATCTCTGATTGTAAAAAAATGTCTTTTTTTTCCTATGTATTTTTTTTCCAAAAGGTACATTCACATTTATTCTATATTTATTACATATAGAGTGAAGTATTCCACATATTTCTGTCTTAATTTGGATTATGGCTTATAGTTCATGAAAATCTGAAATTCAGTATCTCAAGTTATCAGAATAGAAGGTCCAGTGAGTCGACTGGCCAATCAAGCACAGTAATATCATTTTTCTGTAAACCATTGGATGGTAGTTTTGCCTATGTGGGCAGCTGCTCAGTCCTGCTGCAAAAAGAAATCTGCATCTCCATAAAGCTTATCAGCAGATGGAAGCATAAAGCGCTTTAACATCTCCTGGTCGATGCTGTTTTGAGTAAAGATTATGGTTAAAAAAAAAAGAAAAAAAAAAAAGGCCTGAAATATTTCACTTTAAATGTAATGAGTGTTTTCACTTCTTAAAATAACTGATGGAAAACATAAAACTTTTTTGTGATGGTCTAATTTTTTGAGATGCACCAGTGTGCCCTCTGTTGCTCTCAAAGCAGCTTTGCAGAGTCCATATCAGCCTTTGACAGATTGATTTGAGCAAGCTTTGTAAGACTCTGGTGGGTTTAGTGGAAGTGCACAATTGTATGCTGCTAAACGGACAGTTTAAGTCCTTTGAAGACCCACAGTTGACATGTTCCCAGAGTGGTGTTCTGCTCTGGACCAGGTCAGCAGAAAAACATTTTAGCCACTTAAAAAGAGGTCCACCCAAAAAAAATGTACTGTGTGTAAATGTACGCTACATTTAGAGTATTCTCACTGCTTTACCTTGGCGTCACTGCAGGTTCTGAACCTTACAACTTCTGTATTCCTACACATAAGTGCCGCCATTCTGCACACTGTTCTTCACTGCACAGCTGTTCCAATTCAAGCAGTTTGAAGTAGCTAAACACTTCACATCACCTCACAAAACCCCACTTCAAAGACACTAAACTACCCCTTTAATGCGGGTGTAAATGTATGCTAAACACATGGATGTAGGATCAGACGGGCGCCTGCACGTCATCATGAGGCGGTTTGACTCAGGAAAGTGTAAATGCAATCTGTGGAGTTTCTTAAGAAAAAGATCCACCTTAATCCAGCTAACAAGTAATCAGGGTCACCTGCTCTTTCTCCACTAAAAGACAGAAAAGGGTATCGCAAACTAATGCTAATCCACCAGCTGTGACTGGTGTGCATCTTTAAATCCAAACAATGAGGGTTGAAACCTGATGAAGAGAAACTTATTAATGAAAAGATCAGATGTCAGTATCAAGATAATGTATCAAATTATAGATTACATGGTGTAATACCAGCTGTACATGGGGCTGATTAATTTATTATTATTATGATGATGATGATTATTATTATTATGTGTATAGGAGAAATCACACAGCCATCTCAACCCTGAAACCCATCGAAGGGATTAAAAGGCATTTTGCTTTGAAGAAATCACTAAAATTACACATTTTTTTAGAAAACAGAAACAGTAAAACCTGAGAGAATCCCCTGATTTCCAACTTTCTGATGGTCTTTAAACTACTCGTCTGTAATGTGCATTTTTATCAGAAAAAATAGTCAAATCGATGCTTAAAGTTGTGATATTTCATCAAAAATCATAATCATGTCATTCTACGTCTTATTTGAAGATCAACCAAAAACAAAGCATTTCCAATGAACAGTCTCATCACAAAAGAGTTTATGTGTGATCGACTGAGATTGATCAGTTTGTCCCCTGCAGCTGTGTCTCTATTTTCCTAATGTTACACTGTTCTGTCACTTTTAACGCCCACAAAAGTCCAGATCTTAAAGCTACCTTCTGATGATGTCCTGGTTTGTGGTCACGGCTTGTGTTTCTTGTTCAGTTTGTGGAGTCTTGAGGGACATTTGTGAGACCACAGACAGAGAGACGGGGCTGCATCAAAGCTTCAATTTATCAATAATTGGTTAATAGATATAAAGATACCAATAAATGCCAAATATCGGCCATGATGATCGGTCTATCCCTAGTTTTTACTGCACTTCACTTCATTTACAGAGTGTCTTACAGAAGCAATCATCACTTTGTTATAGAATCAACTGTTTACTGGTGTTTTTTCTTAAAACACTTCAACATCAAGACACTTAACTCCTCTTCTATCCCAGCCCTTCGCAGAGATCGCCCAGCTGACTGACGTCCAGGAGGGGACGGTGGTCCGCTGCATCCAGCGCCTGGACGAGGTGCTGAAGGAGGTGCGTCAGGCCGCCCGCATCGTGGGAGACTCCGTCCTGGGCAGCAAGATGGAGAAGGCGTCCCTGTCCATCCGCAGGGACATCGTCTTCACCGCCTCCCTCTACACCCACTGAAGTGTTTCTTTGTGTGCAAAGTGTGAGACAAATGGAGGAGCATCTGGGGAAGGTTGGAGGTGTGATGTTTACATGAAGAAGGGACTGATTTTAACCAACAGACCAAATGAACATGGAAAATGTGGATTGTAATTTATTGTACAGTAATAAAATCTGTATTCAGAAACCTGTCTTCCTGTGATTTCTGTTTGTAGCATCACCAGATTATTTTGACCTTCTGCAGCAAAAAAATTACACAGAAAATCTGCCAGAAGAATCAATTGAGAACTGACGTGGGTCAAATGTCACGTAAGGAAGGAAATCCACCCAGTTCAGCCTCTTTGTTGCGCTTTAATGGGATGTTCCAGCCTGTGCGTTTTTTTTTCTTCCCCTCTCCACAATCCAGGCTGTCGCTTTAAGGCAACGATAGCTTTGTGTCTCGTTAATTCAATGTACGGCGACGCGTTAGCGGAGAGACCTTATTAGAAGCGGCCACACAGAGAGGAGAGAGAGCAGACCTGTGCGCACGCTGACGCACGACTGCCCTCGATTTAATACAGAAAAAAACTGAAGTTTACATTAAAACGTGGGTGTTTTCTTTTTTCTTTTCTTTTTTCTCTTTTTCTTTTTTTTTTTTCTCCTTTTTTTTTGTAAGGATGAAGGCGTCCTGAGGATGGGCTGCACACGCTTGGAATAACCGGAATCACCGCGCACCAAAAAGGTTTTCTTTTCTTGCTTCTTTATTCACACCAGCAGCTGGAGTAAAAGAACACATCCGAGGACAGAAGATCGGAAGGCATGTCGTCTGAAAAACACGGTGAGATGATTTTAACTGTGTGATGGAGATCATCTGGAGCCGCTGCTTCTATAGGAGGATGCACCGCGGTGCGGGTGCAGCTTAAGGGGGGGGGATTTTTTATTTTTTTTTTTTTAAATCACCACAGGGGCTTTAAATCAGAGACTTTTTTTTGTGATTATATCTGTGCGTAAAATCAGAATTGTATCTATTTTTTATCCTAAATGTAAAGATTTTCTGTCAAATCCCACGCACTCCTTGTTCTTTTTCTCTCCATATACGCGCCTTATCACCATCATTACACACAGGCCTACGTCTCCTGGCATGATGTGGGTGTCCTTTTACGCCTTTACAGCCTTTAATAACAATAAAAAGATAATCTCACCTTTCCAGTTTCTATTATTTGACGGTTTTAAAGCACCAACTCGTGCAGATGGAGCTCAAACTCCCAGAAAACTACAGCTTTCCATTGAAAAACACATAGAAACGAAGCTGGTGATGACACCTGATTTTTATCATTGGAGCAGCAGGCTGCAGTTTTTTGGGCTGCAAACGTGACCACTGTCTCGTGTGTTAATCAGATCTGTGGGGCTATAATTAAACAATGGGTGGACAACAGCATCCAGTGATGCTAATCAAACAGCTACAGCACTCCTGCCGGGGTATTTATGAGGAAGCAACCACAGCAGTATTGATGGAATACAGATAGGATGCTGATGTAACACATGTAATGTCAATGATCTGCAAAGTGTTAGTTTATCAGCCTCTTCAAAGCTCCTGTATCCAACATCCAAATGCGGCAACCAGATACAGGTCATTTTTAAACATCCTGTCCTTTATCCTGTCTTTGTTATAGGAATAATAAGGACACTGATTACAGAATTATTTGTAAATGTGGGGATTGTTGCAGGATTGTGTAACATTATTGTGTCCCACTGCCACACATTTTGTGCACACAGTCATCAGGTAGAACTGAGCTTTTCCTGTTACTCAGCGTCTCCTGTGAGAAGAAAAGAAATCTGTGTGCAGTTGCTCATAAGTTGTCTGGTAACAGGAGAATTTTCTATTTGACCAGTAAAACCTACAGCTTTGATCAGTGCCTGACTCAGCTGCACTTCCACTTGTCATAAAGAATAAAACATATAAACATATAATCCAATCAGAACCTGCTGTACTGATTGTACGATGTGCAATCTGTGTATGAACAGCTGTATGACTGTATATGTTTACATAAATTGTCACCAGTGTGTGATTCACAGGTGTGTTTCCATTTATTCTCGCTATCATATTGCATTATTATCAGTTGATGTGCTTGATGTCTTTGTTCCTGTTTGTTTGTGATGTTAAGAGTAAATGCTCTTAACATCACAAGCTAACTTGGAACAATTTATTAAGTATTACTAAGTTTTTGTTTTTTGTTTTTTGTTTTTACTGTATATATACCATTTAATAACAGAAAATGTCCTATGACCAGTATTTGTTGTAAATGTCACTTTTTTATAATATATTTGCAATTAAATAACAGGAAAATGTCCTGTTAAAAGGTACAATATCTTGCAGTTTTTGTTTTGGGAAGGTTTTTTTTTTGTCTGTACATTTGTTTTTCAAATATAAACACAGTGTTTTTTAATTAGAGGACAAAATTTGGGTAAAGAGCTGCCAGTACTTTATCTGTTATTTTATAGCTTAATTTCTTAAAGTGTAGGAACAAAAAAGAGGCAAGAAAAAAAGGAAATAATCGTGAAATAATACAACATGGTAAAGTAAAAAAGAAAAGGTTTATAAAAATATATACGTATACAATTGACTGATATCTACTGTGTTATAGTGGCAACAAAATGATGCTTGTAATTACATGTTGCAGAACAATGACTCCAAAGGACAACCTTTGGAGCCCAACAAATGCACTTTGCATCCAAATTCACTTCCTTTTTTCTCAGCTGAGTTGCTCCTGAAGTCTTTAATGCAGCGAGTTGTAAACATTTGCCTGGTTTGTCAACTCTGTAGGCATTTTTGTTCGGCACATATTTCCCCCATGCAGTTTCTAAGTTATACAGTTTTCCATCATCACTGATCTAATAATTCCAGATTCCAGACAATCTCCTATACAGATACACAAAAAGATATCTTCACTGCCAGCAGTTTATGGAAAGATATGTGTAAAAGCATAACATTTTCATTTTTCATTTCATTTTTTCCTTTCTATTAAGGGTATAAATAACTCTGGAAATATTATCGTAATATATAATGTAAGATCTGAATAGCCTGGACTGTTATGAATAAAACAAGATACAGCATGAATGGTTTGTCCTTAGAATGACCAAGATAAGAGCATAAACATGAAGGTAGTGAAATTCCCCTGGGGCCTGATGGGGTTAAATCCCCACTGACCTCAGTCTATTTATTCTTCTTACTCCACTTATCCACATATAGGTTTATGTGACATTTCATACAGGCTCTGACCTACTACAAGGTTATTCTTTGTGGATGTTGCTTTTTTTTTTCTTGGGCACGTCTGCTAAAAAAGTGTTGTTTAAAGTCACTGTCACCTGTTTTTGATCAGGATTCAACTGAAAATCCTCCACACGCAGATTCCGGACTCAGAAACATCTCCAGATCTAAATACACAGAGATGTCACAGGCCCGTGCTGCTCGTCACCTCATGACCTTTTAAAGGTGTCCCTTCCCTCGCGCTGCCTCCTCTTCCCCTCTGTCTGTTTCTGGTCCACTTCCTGCTTGTGACAGGGTTGGGAACTGTTACGTAAAGCCGGTCCCCGAGCACGAGTCGTCATCCCTCATCACTCAGCCACTCCACTTGCCTCCCGCCTCCTGCTCTGCTTTTTCTGTCCCATCAAATCCTCCTTCCTTCCTCCGTCCATCTCCATTTTTCTTTCCTTCTCCTCCTCATGTCCCTGTCAGAGCGGATTACCCCAGCCACCTCCCCGCTGCGAAAATACAACACCCCATCAGTCATTTTCAGTGTTAAACAAACACAAAGGGAGCTGAGGTGTTTGCGTCAAACGTCCAGAGGCAGATGGATGCATTGGAATGAGTTTCTTCCGTGGCTGAAATGCCTCATTTCTAACTGCTAATAAACATCATTGTGAAGGCAGAAGCATAGAAAAAGGCCTTTCTTCTTCTTGGGGATCGAAAATGTCAATCACTGTCATCATTAGACTGCAGGTTGGGAAATATCAGGCTTTGCAAATGCCTTTTGAAGTCTTGCTGAGGAGCTGTGTAATTGTTTTTTCTCCTCTTCAGCAGCCAGATAAGACGCATTACATTCAATAAGCACGTGTAGCAGTGCTCCAGTTAGATAACATGCCCTCACTCTTACATCTGTTTCTTTTATTGTTCTTCCTCTGCCTTTTCTATTTCTGATTGCTCTCCTTCTCCGTCTTTTCCTCCCTCTTCTTTCTTCTTCATCATCCTCTCTCAGGGCTCGATGACTCCGGCCGTCAGACCATGCAGCCTCCTCCCTATCTGCCCGGCCCACAAGACCCCAACGTTCCCCAGCACCCCAACATGCCTCCGGCACCGGGCACGCAGCCCAACTACCCCCCTCCGCCTCCTCCTCCAGGCTCAGAGGGATACCTCCAAGAGACTCAGTTCCACTGCGGACCAATGGGACCTCCGGGGGCCCCGCAGGGCTACACCGTCCAGACCCAGGGCCCTGGAGGCACCATGGCGCACCCCCCTGTGGGCTACCTCCACCCAGGATACCCGCTTCAGCTGCAGCCCTGCACGGCTTACGTACCCGTCTACCCCATGGCATCAGTGAGTATAAAGGCTTCACAAATTTCCCATCAGGCTGATGCAGAGTTTGAAATTCCCAACTTTACATTCACAGATCTAATTCTGATGTTGCAGGTGAATCATTTCTTATAATTTACTGTAGTGTTACTCAGTAGGAACATGAATTTGACGCTAATTGTAGGAAAAAATTATACTAGTTATGTTGGTCCTGGTGCTTTAAACTGTTCCTATTTTCTATCTCCGTCCAGTGTCATATTTCTTTCTCTTATTTCTATTTTCAATCAATTATTTTTGTTTCAGTCAAGATTTCTTTATTTGTCATTTCTCTGTGCACCAGTGCACACAATAATATCGTTCTCCCAGCCTTTATCAATACCACAGAATAGAAAACGATTGAGAGTAGTTTGGAAATAAGTAATAAGAATTAAAATGAACAGAAATCACTAGAAAACAAGTAACATAAAAACATGGAAGAGCTTGAGCACAACATTTTAAAGTGCTAAATAAAGTTCAATTAGCAGCACAGTATGTTAAATTTACCTGATCTTATATTTAAAAATGTGTATCTGGACAGTTGTATATGCTTTCACTTCATAAATGTGTGGGCTGGTTTATTATTTTTTGTCTTATTTTATGGCTTATGCAGATATAGATCCACAAGTGGGATGTTTGCTACCTTACATTGTACTTTTTCTGTCATATCAGTGAGACAAACTTCACTCTATAAGTCATTTCATTTGCCTGCTGTGTGGCTGATCCATTAATTACCTGGACATTTAACTGTGCATAATTAATAATAATTATCTAAAAACCTCCCTAGGGAAGTATTAGAAAATGTGTCAAATTTTGCGTTACTTCCGAAACTACATTTGTTTTAGTTGTCATATATCATGACCTCCGTCTCACTGCTGTGAAAGTGCTGCAGTTTTAGTCACATTTTTCATTTTAAAAAAAGTTTCCTGCAGTGTCTGAAACAGCTCTATTGGTCGATGATGCTTTTATGTACTTATTTTTGAAGAAGAGGTCATAATACTACAGTTAAATAGCCGCTGAATGCTTGTTCCTCACACTGTTGTGTTAACAGATTGTTTGCATTATTTATCATATGCACTTTGTTAAACAGATTTGGAGTTCCAGATTATATTTTATTAGTCTAAAGGACACTTAATTTTTTACACACAGGTTGATTCAGAGTGAAAAACAGTACATGAGAGTTTTACATCTCCAAGACTCTAAATAAATTATAAAATTAGACCACTTTGACTGCAAGGAGCTATCAAATATGCTGTGAACCATAGTACCTAAAAAAAAATTTGGTTGAGCTGCAAGCAGTTTATATAAATATAAAGCCTGTCCTCAAGATCTTTATTGGTTTTGTGCCATTTAATAATTCAACATATACCTGTTGTTTTTTGTTTTTTTTAAAATTTGTGCTACAAATGGGAACACATTAGTTGATAAAACAATTGTAAACTGCATTACCGAACATCAAAGTGGCAAAATGAGGCAGCGGAAAGTGACTGTGAATCATCAAACAGAGGAAAGTGCAGCTGTGTAGTGTCCTAATTGTAATTTCTGTGTGCAGAGGACTACAGGAGTGTGGGTTTGAATGCAAATATAATATTTATCAAGAGCTAAAATCTGCTCTGCAGCATACTCAACTTGCACAAATGCACAAATTGATCTTTGTGATTTTTAGACATTTCCAGGAAGGAGGCTGATGAATTTAATCTGATGAGGTTTAGACATGCACAGTGATTGGTGTCTTTGAACACAGCGCACACTTGCAGCTAATTGGAAAAAAAAACACCAATTGTGACAACAGTTTAATTTAGAGGAACTTTAAGCAACAATGCACTCTGCTGTCTCCTTTGCAGTGTTGCAGCTAATTACAGCCAGGAAATATGAACACACAGTGTGAGGCAGAGTTACCTCTCGGCTCTGCAGGTGGTTAGTAATAAAGCAAACCTGGTGAAAATTGTCCAGTTGGCTTTGAAAGCTAATCTTCGAGGGGCTCTGCACTGTGATTAAGTCGTCTCTGACGTCTCGCCTGACTCTCACGACTCCCACACTGTAAAATATTCATCTAAATCGATTTGACAGACGGCTGTTAAGAATGCAAATAAAGCCTTTTTTCCCTGTTGTTCCCTGTCCATCACCAGTAATCCTGCTGCCGTCCTCCTCTTCGCTCACGTCACTATGTTCCCATGTCTTTCGAGTGGAAAGTGCTTTGTAAGCTGCTCTACTGTTTTAAAAACATACTCTCTGTCTCTGCTCAGGGTCAACCCTACATGCCGGCGGGGGGAGCCCACCCAGGGATCCCACCGGGTCAGATTCACCCCATGCAAATGCCGCCCAGCATCACCCTGATGGACCGTCGACCGCCTCACGACTATCTGCCCATCGCAGTCCTCACCACTGTCTGCTGCTTCTGGCCCACAGGCATCATTGCAATCATCAAAGCCGTGCAGGTTGGTGCTGCTGTGGATTTTCTGTTTGATCTTTGGGCTTCATATTAACGTAATACCACATTTACTGAGGACTTTGGAATGAAATTCAGCCTGTAAAGAGGGCCTATTATGTGTTTCCTTATTTTCTGCTTTACATATAATGTTAAATTATCAGACATTTGTATTAAAAGTAATTTCTGTGAGCCAATATCTCAGACTTTTTTGATGTCGGCTCATTACGGATTCCTTTATACAGTCCTCCAGGCAAACATGCCCACAAAGTTAAAGAACAGACTTCTTGGCAAATGTATGCACATATTCTTGCAAAATAGTCTGCTTGAGTGGTATTCTAGGCATTTAATGTACTGCAATACACAGATAGCCAGCGGTGAAGGTAGAATAATGTTTTGCTAGCCACATTACCTTTGGTATATCCTGATTGTAGGTGTTTTCCACTTCACATTTTACTGTATTATCCCTAATATTAACTGGGACATACTGTGTATAGGAAACATTTTTCATACTGCTTATATTCAAAAGCCGAACTCCACCATTATGTCACACAATAGGCACTTAAAGAGTTTAATATTTACCAAACACAAAACAAATGTTTGTTCCAGATTGGATTCGTGCTGACGTATATGCGAATGGGTTTGGAAAGTTATTTCAAGAATGAGAATTGATGTTACTGAGCAGTTCTACAGGTTGCTTTCAGAACTTCCACACTAACAAGAAGATGAGTGGGTGCTCATAAGCACTGAGGGAGGCTTCCTGAAGTTAGCCAATCAGAAGAAACAGGGCTTTTAGCAAGGCGGGCCTTAAAGCACCTAGCTAATTATTGTGTATTAAAATTTGATCTGGAAAGTTGGAATGTCCAAGGTTCCTAGTTAGAATTTTCAACTGGAATGCACCTTTTAGTCAGATCTTCAACTGAGAAAGTCAGAAGAACATCATCAACCTCGACTTCCAAATCCAAGATGGATGCTCAGTGCATCGACAGCAGTGTTTGTTAGCACTTCTGTCTTATTTGTGTCTCAATATATCAGTTGTACACACAGTTCTGGTTCAGTCTCCCAGTGGATATGTAGCTACGTTTTTTACATGCAATACACAGTAATGCATTGTTATCAACTGGTGTTGCTAACAATGGCTAATCTGAAAGCAAAGGCTTTCCTGGAGGTCTGCATCCTGCTTTGTCCAATTTGCTGGAACACAAAATAATATCGCCTGTTTCAGACAGAAACTGAAGGGCTTAGTAACTGGTACTACGAGATATACATTCCTGATCAAAATCTTCAGACCAGTTAAAAAATTGCATGAATTTGCATTTTGCACTGTTGGATCTTAGGAAGGTTCTAAGTAGAGCTTCAAAATGCAAAAAGAAGAAATGGGAACA